TTTTAAAAAAACATGTTTTGGTGTAGGTGGACACAATACCTTTATATTTTTTTGTGGTACTGAGGATTGAACTCAGTGCCTCAAAGGTGCTAAGCAAGCGCTCTACCACTGAGCCACAATCCCAGCCCGCCATAGTTATTTTGATACTTGTTATATCAAATAAATCTTAACAGACCCAAAAAGAAGAAAAAACATCTCTCAGACCACTAAAGTTTCAAGATAGATCAGCTTAGGACCTGATCACCTCTTTTTAGTTGATTCAAATCAAGTTTTTGTAGTTCTGCTTTATTTTGTTGTAAAAATAATATATGGGCTTTACTTTCTTGAAACCTGATGCCTTTCCCTTGAATAATGTATGCTTTTGTTCTATGAGGCTCTGCTGTTCAGGCTGTTAGCCATTAGCTATGTGTGGCTATTTAGATTTAAATAAATTAAAAATAAAATTAGGTAGTCCCAGTTATTTGGGAGGCTGAGGCAGAAGGATCACTTGAGCCCAGGAGTTTAAGACCAGCCTGGGCAGCATTGTGAGGCTCCCATCTTAAAAAGGAAAAAAAAAGAAAAATTAAAAGTTCAGTGTCTTAGCTACATTTCAAGACTTAAAAACCATATTGGACAGTATAGGACTGGGCCTGCCATCACTGCAGGAAGCTATGGGCATTGTTCATCAAAGCTGTGTTTGGAGACAAGGGGTTGGGTTGGGTATTTTTCCTTTTTAGGATGTTAGATATTTACAATTTTGGAACTCATTCTTGAACCCTTTCTGCTTTTTTAGCATGTCTGACTTCTGGTGTTAATTAAGCATTGGGTCCTTTTTATACTGGATTAATCATGTATGACTGTGTATATTCATTATTTTTTTCTGCTTTTGGATAGTTCCTTGTTTTTCTTACACTATTTGGCTTATTTATAGTAAGTACCAATTCACTGAACACTTCTAAGCACTGGGGAATTGGTAATATAAGATATCTCTGTCTTCTTGGAATTTACATTCATCATTGTTGTTTCTTAACCTCTCACAAAACCAAGTTGCTCTAATCAATTATAAAGTTTCTTGTCTGATAATCAAGTGGTCCCAACTTGACCAGTGGGAGCCCCTTTGATTGTAATGGCTTCTCTGCCCTTTAATATACCCCTGAAGTTTTAGAAGTCTGCCTGCTTTTTGTAACAACTGGTTATTTCACACCGTCTGGTCTTGGCTTTTTTTTGTTTTAAATCTTCTCCAGCTTTGGCATCCTATCATCTGCACATTAGGGGTGTCTGATGACTGGCAGTGGAGAGGTGCCTTTCTCAAGTCAGCAGTTCACCCACTGACCCATGTAACTTTTATCTCATTTTCATGGAGTATGAGATTTTGTCAATAAGTCACCACTGATAACTAGCCATGTCTCTGCTGAACCTCCTGTTTTCTTCCTATACAATTAAATCTGGCTTCCTGGCCATCTACTCTGAAATTGCACCTTTTGAGGATTCTGTGACTGCTCCAGTGTAAACCTCATGGTGAAGTCCCTCTGGGATGTGGCTTACCAGCATCCTTTGCCTTCTCATCCGTAAGCCTCATCACTGTTTGCCTCCTGTGATACCTGAAGCTGTGGGTTTCTTATAACCTAGATTACTGCAAGGCTCAGATTCTATTGCTTTTTCCTCTCTTGAATTGAGGGGTGCATATGGCAACAGCAGAGACAGTAGAAGTGTCAACCAGAGGCTTGGCCTTCCCTAACGTGTTCAGTTTATTTTCCAGGTTTATGTTAACATTTATCTGTTGAAGGTCCAACTTGCATCCTGGCCTCAACTGCTGTGACTGGTTAAGTTTGTCCAACTGGCTGCCGGATACTTCAGGCTCAGCATGTTCACAAGTCGCCTCCCAACTGTCCTTCCCTGTGCTTAAGTCAGAGACCTAGAATCTTTCTCCAGGCTTCTCGTTCTCTTCTACTGCATACTCTTCTGTCAGTAAAGTCTACCCCAATTCAAGTTGCTACCCCTGAGTTAATAGATTTACTAAGTGCCTGGCCTCAACTCTTGCCCTGTTCATGTGGCTTCTTTCCTTAAGGAAGGAGGCCATGTCTTCTCTGTGCCCAGACTTTTTGATGCCTCTATTTCTTTCTTACTCTAAAAGCCTCAAGTTCTTACATGTCCTGGCCTCTCTTCTCTTGAAGCTTCTTGTCCTCCTGATGTTCACTTATCCCCCTTATTGCCCTGTGACTTTTGCCTGGCATCCTCCTTTTCTTGGGGGCGATACCGGGGATTGAACTCAGGGGCACTTGAACACTGAGCCACATCCCCAACCCTATTTTGTATTTAGATATAGGGTCTCACTACTGAGTTGCTTAGCACCTTGGTTTTGCTGAGGCTGGCTTTGAACTTGATATCCTTCTGCCTTAGCCTCCCGAGCCACTGAGATTATAGGTGTGTGCCACCACACCTAGCCTGGCACCCTCCTTTTGATAATCTGGGAGCAGAGAGGCTTGTCCTCCATCTATTGCAGGCTTGTGTTGGGGATACACATCATATTCACAACTGCGCTTTCCTGCTCTGCACATGCATATCCCATTACCCTCACCTATGCTAATATTCCCCTTGAGATAGTTTATCATGAGGGCCTAAGCATGTGTTGTGTGTGTGTGTGTGTGTGTGTGTGTGTATGTTTGTTTGTGTGTACTGGGAATTGAATCAGAGGGTGATTTGCCACTGAGCTACATCCCCAGTCCTTTTTTTTTTTTTTTTTTTTTTTAATTTTGAGACTGTCTTGTTAATTTGCTGATGGTCTTACGAAATTGCTGAGGTTGGCCTCAAACTTGGATCCTCCTGCCTCAACCTCTTAAGTGGCTGGGATGTGTTACTCTTACTATTCCAAGGACTTTTAATGGTGCCTGAAAGTAGATATTTTGTAAATATCAATTGAAATCTTAACCCATTTAGACTTGTTATCATTTTAGTATTAAAAGTCTATTTTCCTGTATAATAAAAATGCTTTTGAGAAATTTCTGACTTGTTGGTTATATTCTATAATTTTTTACTTAAGGAATTTGATGTTCAGGAGCTTTTGAGGCATTCAACTGGGATTAAAGCTTTGACCTTAATAAGTCCAATTCTGTGCTGTTGATGGTATAGCACTCTTGAAGGAGAGAGCTTTGAGCCCTTGTGTCATTCTCTCTCCTACAGGCTACTTTATTGGCTGTTGTGTGGCCTAGGCAATAGATGGGGCCAAGTTTCTGAGTGTTTGTGCACATGTTACTGAGGGTGGTCAGGGCTTTTGATGACTCAGCCCCCTTGCTGAGGGATCTCTTGTTTCTGCCAGTGCTCCTTTCTCTCAGTGCTTGGTCACTTCCAGCAAATTGCTTGTGCTCCATAGGTGACTGATCTTACCTTGTTCTGACATCAGTCTTTTTTTTTTTTTTTGAATTTTTTTTTAGTTGTTGATGGACTTTTATTTTATTTATTTTTTATTTTTATTTTTTAATTTGTTTTAATTAGTTACACATGACAGTACAATGACCTTGACACGTACATTTGAAGCAGCTGGGATATAATATCTCATTTTTCTGAGTATACAGGTTGCAGAATCACATTGGTTATGCATTCACATATAGACACACAGTAATAATAATGTCTATTTCATTCTACTATCTTTCCTATCTCCCCAAGCCCTCCCCTCCCATCACTTCTCTCTACCTAATCTAGGGTAACATTATTCCTTTTTTTTTCTCACATCTTCATACATGTATTTTGTATAACAGTGAGGGTCTCCTTCTACCATCCATGCAATACCCTTTCTCCCTCCCTTTCCCTCCCACCCCTCTTCCCTATGTAGAGGTAATCTTCCCATGCTCTTCCTCTCTTCCCCATTTTGAGTCACCCCCCTTATATCAGAGAAGATATTCGGCATTTGTTTTTTTTGGGGGGGATTGGCTAACTTCACTTAGCATAATCTGCTCTAATGCCATCCATTTCCCTGCAAATTCCATGATCTTATTATTTTTTAGTGCTGAGTAATATTCTACTGTGTATATATGCCACATTTTTTTATCCATTCATTCATTGAAGGGCACCTCCACAGTCTAGCATTGTGAATTGTGCTGCTATAAACATTGATGTGGCTGTGTCCCTGTAGTATGCTCTTTTTAGGTCTTTTGGGTATAGTCCAAGAAGAGGAATGGGTCAAATGGTGGTTCCATTCCTAACTTTCCAAGGAATCTCCATACTGCTTTCCAAATTGGCTACACCAATTTGCAGTCCCACCAGCAATGTATGAGTGTGCCTTTTTCCCCGAATCTTTGCCAGCACTTGTTGTTGTTTGTCTTCATCATGGCTGCCATTCTTACTGGAGTGAGATGGTATCTTAGTTTTAATTTGCATTTCTCTGATTGCTAGAGATGATGAGCATTTTTTCTTAGCAGTGCTAAGAATTGAACCAAGTGCCTCACACAAGCTAGTAGGCAAGCTCTCTACCACTGAGCCACAACCCCAGCTGCCCGACACTAGTCTTGATTTTTATTTGTCTACTTGCACATTGCTTCTACACATTTCAGTAGTTTCTTTACTTATTTAGTTAGGCCATTGAAAACTCTGTTAACACCCATGTCTTCCAATGAATTCCATATAAAATCAGTTTTCAGGTCAGGTTGTTTTGACTTTGGAATCAGTATACCCTTTATCAAAAATTTTCCTTCTGTTTATGAATTCCTGTAATTTTTTCTTTACCAGGTATTGCTCATAGATCCCTTTCTTTTTCTTTCAATTACTGTCTTTGGTTAGGCCTTTATTATCTCATGCCGTGTTATTACAGTCAGCTTCTAAGAGGTGTGGTCTCTGCTTTCTAGAATTGTAAATGATATAAAGTGAAAGTCTCACCTGATTCCCTATTCCTTTCTCCAAAAATCCAGTCATTTACTGACTAAGCCTTTTCTGATGTTGGTTTTGGGCTATTGTTTCATTGATGTGTCTCTTTGGTCCTTTTAGTTTTAAATCTAATATTTTTTTTTTTTTTTTTTTGCTGGGGAGAGGCTTTGAAACAGCAAGTAGCAGATTTACAAGAAGATTTGAAAAGAAAGGAAGCAAAATGGTCAAGCACACACGGTCGTCTCAGAAGCCAGATAGAAATGTTAGTCAAAGAGAACACGGATCTCCGGGAAGAGATAAAAGTGATGGAAAGATTCCGAATTGATGCCTGGAAGAAAGCAGAAGCAATTGAGAGCAGCCCTAAGGCCTACCAGTGTATGACTGCCACAAAAAACGATGAGTCTGTGGTAGGTTTTGGAGTCTAGCTGGTTTTGTGAGGTCAGAGGGTGATGGTAAATATTCAAGCATTCAAATTCATAAAGCAAAGTGGAATGGTAGATGCCAGGGACTGGGGGACAAGGAGTTAGTATTTAGTGGGTTAAAAATTATAGATTTATAAGATCACAAGGTTATAGAGATTGTTGGACAACTGATGTTATACAACAACAGTGTGAATGTACACTGAAGTGTACCTTTAACAATGGTTAAGATGATGAATTTTAGCTGGATGGACATGGTGCATGCCTGTAATACCAGCCACTTGGAGCCTGAGGCAGGAGGATCACAAGTTCAAGGCCAGCCTCAGCAACTTAGTAAGGCACATTCTCAAAATCAATAATTTAGCTCAGTGGTAAAACACCCTTTTGTTCAATTCCTAGTACAAAAACAAAAAATTCGTGGATTTTTAGGTTATGTGTATTTTACCATAATTAAAATTCTTTTGAGGGCTGGGGATGTAGCTTAGTTTGTAGAGCAGTTGCCTAGCAGTGCAAGGCCCTGGGTTCAGTCCTGTATGCTTTGCTATACAGTTACTTGACAAATTTATTTTATTTTATTTTATTTTATTTTATTGTACGGGAGATTTAACCAAAGGGTGCTTTACCATTGAGCTGCATTTCTAGCCCTTTTTGTTTTTTGAGACAGAGTCTCACTAAGTTGCTGAGGCTGGCCTAGAACTTGTAATCCTTCAGCCTCAGCCTGAAGTCGCTAGAATTACAAGTCACTAGAATTACAGGCAGTGCGCCCAGCTCAAATTTATTTATTTACTTATTTTAATTTTTTAAAAAATATTTTTTAGTTGTAGATGGGCATAATACCTTTATTTATGGGGTGCTGAGGATTGAACCCAGTGCCTCACATGTGCTAGGCGAGTGCTCTATCACTGAGCCATAACCCCAGACCTTCATATTTATTTTTATACTTCTTACAAAGGAGGAAGGAGGTATTCTACAATAGGTTAGATAACCTCAGTTTAAAAGATCCAAATGTATGTCAAGTTTTTGCAGTCACATACATAGGCTTCTTTCTTTCTTTCTTTTTTTTTTTTTAAAGAGAGAGAGAGAGAATTTTTTAATATTTATTTTTTTAGTTTTCGGTAGACACAACATCTTTGTTTGTATGTGGTGCTGAGGATCGAACCCGGGCCGCACGCATGCCAGGCGAGCGCTCTACCGCTTGAGCCACATCCCCAGCCCCATAGGCTTCTTTCTAATCAGGGTACTGGTCTTTCATTTATCTATGTGAATAACCAGGCTGTGGAAGGCATATGGGGGTACAGCAGTGAGCAAAACAGACAAAATTCCTTGCCTTCATGGAATTTATTCTAGTAGCAGCAGAAAGATTTTAAATAGAATAGATAAATAAATGTGTGGTATGAAATAGTGATGGGACTAAGGGGAAAAAAGCAAGACTGGAGGAGATAGCTGTTGGGGTGTGGAGCATGGGGTGCTACCATTTGGATAGGATAGCTGGATAGGATTCCTTACTAAAGAAGAATGGCTTGCAGGAGGAAGCAAGGACATGCTGCGAGGATAAAGCATTGGAACTGAGTGGGAGAGCTGCTGGGGACAGAACTGGAAGGAGATGGAACATGTTGGGTTCACTAGGCCCTAACAGGTTCATATGAGCACTTGGGCTTTTCTTGAGTGAGTTACAAGCCCCTGGGGGCTCAGGGTGGCCTGCCCCTTTATTTTAGTAAGCTTACACTGTCTGCTGCAGACTGAAGGAATAGATGGGAGGGCAAAATGGGCCTTGTCAGGAACACAGTTAGGGATTGTTTTGATGGTTGGTTAGCGGCACTGGAAGATCTGAAGTGGACTAGATTTGTTGATGAACTGGTACAGGGATGTGACAGCAAAAGAGGAGTTAAGAATCACTTCCCATCACTGTTTAGTTTGCTTTTGGCCTAATGGAGCCCAAAAGAAACCTGAAGAAAAGCAAGTATTTTCAGGGAATATGGCTACTAGGAGCTCAGATGTTGTCAAGGAAGTAGGAAATACTGTCTAGCCATTATGTGGAGATGCTGCTGTGGCATTTATACAGATGCTGTGGGTTGCCCTTGGGGTCTTCTGAATGTGTGCTGAAGCATTAGGCCAGGGGAGACCACTGGGGCTGTGAATGGATAGGGAAGAGCTAGCTCTGAAACAAGGGATGAAGAGAGTGAACAGCCTGACAGCAGGTAGAATGGAGGCCAGTGTGGTGTCCTGAGGCAAATGAAGAAAGTACCTTGAAGAGGAGAGTTCCTTACTATATAGGTTGTTGCTGCAGAGTAAGGACTGAGACCAGCCATCTGATTTACCAAATTGAGATAACTGCGGTGGGCAATAAATCTGTTGTCTTGGAGTAGTGAAGGTGAAAGCCTGACAAGAGAATGCAATACCGTTACAGACAAAGCCCAAGAGCTCTGTGGTGAGGTGTGTGGAGGCTAAAGAGAAGGATTTTTGTGTTTTTTAAGATAGGAAAATGAACAGATGAGGACAAATGTGTATGTTTATAGTATTGATTCAGTGGAGACGAAGATGCTGATACAGGAGAAAGTAGGGGAATGTCCAGAGTGGCATCTTGGGACAGATGAGGGGTAGGTCTGGGAATGAATGGAGGGTTGGTCCTGGCCAGGTATAGGCTGCTGTACCTGATGACAGGCTAATGCTGGTGGCAGCTGGTAGTAGGTCCCCTCTAAAGCTTTAACTTTCTCAGGGAAGCTGAAGCATGTTCATTAGCTGAGGAGGGGGGTGAAGGAGGAGTTGTAGGAGGTTGAAGAGGAAGGAGAAAGTGAAAAGTAATTGTCTGAGTGGAAAGCAGGAGGATTGTGGAGGTAGGGAGGCTGATTCAGGGCTTTACTGGGGCCTACCTGGGTTAGAGACTATAAGTGAAAAGACAATTTTTTTTTCCTTCAGTTTTTTGGGTGTAAGGTGGCAGAAAATTATATTTTAGCAAACACATGGTCACACAAGTGAAAGCCAAAATGAAAGAGGTATGTGGAAGTTGGCAAGACAAGAGTGACTACAGTGAACCATGAAGTTAAACTGTATTAGAAGGCATAAGGCTACAAGGTACTGAGGACATCACAAAAATATATGAGTTAATGAACTGTTAGGCTATGCATTGTCAGTGTCAGTTTTAGAGGAATGAGCTATAGAACCATAGATGGGTGGTAAGGAAGTGGCATTCTCCTTTACTCCACTAACACTTTATTATGGAACTGCACCAAAATAGAGAACAAATGAAGACTAATATGATTGTTAGTCAGCTTTCTGTCTCTGTTACAAAATACCTGAGATAAACAATTAAAAGCAAGAAAAGTTTATTTTAGCTCACAGCTTTATTCCATGGTCATTTGACCCCATTGTTTTGGGCCTGTGGTGAAGCCAGACATTATGGTGGGGAGTATGAGTTGAGCAGAGCTGCTTACCGAGTGGTAGCAGAGAAGTGAAAGGGTAGAAGGATGGGTCCCAGGTCCCAATATTCCCTTCATGGACCTACTTCCCCCAATAGGCCCCATCCTTAAGTAGTTTCCACAACCTCCCAGTATTTCTCTTATCTGGGGACCAGGCCTTCAATACATAAATTTTTGGGGGGACATTTAAGATCTAAATCATAACATTAAACACCTGAAAACTCACTTAGAGTTAACCACCATGAGCACTTTGTTGTACTTTTGTATATGTTTTGCTAAGGTAATTTGAAGGTAATTGTAGTAATCAAGGCGTCTAATCCTTAAATATATTAGCATTTTATTAAATGGCATTGAGTTTTTAAAGGCTAATTAGTTGGTTGAATGCCCCACCTTGTGGATCTTTGTAAATGGAATGCTTTGAAATTCTGATTTTTGCACTTAGCTGGTAATTGTGGGTATTGATGATATTGATAATGTCAGATTCTAGGGTTTGCTCATTGGGATTTCTAGCTGAGGCAGGACAAAATATAGATTCAGGGAGTAAGGTCAAGACAGAGCAGGGAGGTCTCATCCTAGTGGTAGGAGCTCCAAGTTCAAGAGTGTGAATTCTCAGGGAGAGCTAGGTTTAGTCTTTGAGGGTATGACAGCTCCTGGAAGAGGCTGACTGATCATGAGGCCTGTGCTCACCTCACTAATTATGCTCTCTGATGTGATATTTTGAAGAATGAATATATATAAAAGGAATATATGTGTATAGTTCATTCCTAGATGACAGGTAGGTCACTTCAGCCTACTGTGATAATAAAAAAATAAAAACAAGAATAAACAGACTTATAGTGTTCTTATCACTAACTTGAGTTTTGCTAGTTTCACTCAGTTTACTGATGTATAGACTAACACTCCTTTTATATTCAATTATCTCTAATACTTTAGAACCCATCTATTCGATTTCAAAAGAGCCACATTTCTTCAGGAACCCAGGTAGAAAAATGTAAGAAAAATTATCTGCCAACACGAGGTAAGAGGATGCATGGTTTTTTAATAAAATATTTCAGAATTTAAAGAATGGAGAATTTATAACCACTTTAAGAAATAAAACATTATAGATATAATTGAAACCCCTGTACATCATCTACAGGTAGTAATTCCTGATAATATTCTGTACCTGTACATCATCTACAGGTAGTAATTCCTGATAATATTCTGTACTTTTCTTTTTATTATTTTGCTACATTGTGTTCATAAATTGATATAGCATATTTTATATTCTGCAATTTGCTTTTTTTCCTCTTAGTATTTTAAGATTTAAGTACATTGATACTTAAAAACTCTGGGTGACTGATTTTAAGAGCTCTACAGATCCCACTGCGTATTTCCACAGTGTCCCTGTTGCTGAGCATTTAGGTTCCCCCAGGTTTGCAGAATGATATACAGGGCTACAGAGTGGGTCCTGTTGATATGGCTTTTCCAGGGTATGTATCAGGAGGAGGATGCTGGGTCATGTTAAGAGTGTGTGCACTTATTTTTATAATGTATGGGTTACATGATTTACTGTGCTGGCGATGACCTAAAAAGCTTAGGCTGCTGCCACTTGAACATACTGGTCAAGCCAAATTCTCTTTATTCTTGAATGCCTCTTTTATCTGTACCCCACACCAGTCTCTTAACAGTCCTTGTTGATTGTCTTTAGAATACCATGGGTCTGTTATTTGAGGCCTTGTTTCTTCCTCTGCACTGTGTATCCTCTGAAAACAGATATTGTCATTGTCTTTGTTGGTCACTGAAGCCATAAGTACTTGTATAAATATTGGAATTCATATAATGGTAAACTCCTACAAATCAGTAGAGAAAAATACTAAGATTTCCTTAGTTAAAGGATAAAGGACAATAGTTCACAAAAGGATACAAATTAAAGAAATGTTTGACTGTATTTGTAAGTTTTAACATTAAAAAAAATTTTTTAATTGTAGATGGACATATTGCCTTTGTTTATTTTTATGTGATGCTGAGGATCGAACCCAGTGCCTCACATATGCCACTGAGCTACAGCCCCAGCCTCTGTTTTAACATTTTAAATTTTGAAACTAACCCTTCAATTTTATCCTAGCAGGGAATCCATCTCAAAGATCCAAGTCTGTACCTGTTCGTGATTTAGGCAGCTCGGATAAAGGACAAGTAAATCTTTTTTTAATTTTTGTATATTCAAATAGATTACTCATGCTTGATATTGATGTTAAGTTTCTAAACTAGTATAAGGGAGGCTTTTATTTAACATTGTATATTTAGCACCAAGTACTAGTCCTAGAGCCCTATAATGGTAGAAATCTGTCTTTTGGAAATAAGTGTATATTTAAGCTGCTTGAAATGTCTTGTCTTACAGGCTGCCTTGCCCAGGGAGCCACTTGAACTGGTAAACTTCCCAGATTCTGAATATAAAAAGAAGGAAGAAAAAGAAGAAATTCAGGGAGAAATCAATCATCCTGATGGAAAGGTTAAAAAAAAGATACTGAATGATTTAAAAAATAAACATTGGCTAAAATAGAGTGGAATGCTTAGATTATAAAATATGGTCATGTGTTGCATAATAATGTGAACATTAGAATGTACTTATATAAATCTAGATGGTCATATATGTATAGGACCTCCAGGGGCATATAATTTTAGGGCTGTGATGAACAGAACATTTACTCAAGATTAAATGAAGCACAAGAGAAAATGATGCAATCAAAAGATGCATTAAGCAGATTTATGAGGCTGTTCTTGGTGGAACATGCACATTGCTCACAGTAAATTTATAAGTAGGAGATATATGCTAAAATAACAGTAAAAAATGTAGAGAAAGTATATAAATTGGTAAAATAGTTTAATTAAAATAGTAAAATATCAAGTATTACATATTTTCCATAATCATATGTTTAATTTTCTGTACAACCATCAGTGCAGGTTTGTTTACACCAGCATCATCACTAACTTGTAATGCCATTGCACTGTTACCACCTCTACATTGCTAGGTGATAGGATTTTCCTGTTGCATTATCATTATGGGAGAACACTGTCCTATGTGTCACCCATCATTGATGGGAATGTTATCATGTGGTACTTGACTGTAGTTGATTTTTTTTTTGCCCCCTCAATACTGGGAGTTGGACTCAGGGCCTCTATGCATGCTAGACGAGTGCTGCTGAACCGCTGAGTTATAGTTAGCCATTTAAAAAAAAAATTTATTTTGAGACTGGGTTTCACTAAGTTGCTAGGCTGGTCTTGACCTTGTGATATTCCTGCCTCAGTCTCCTAGGTAGCTGGGATTAGTGGTTTAACTTCAGGACTGTAGGGGCTTAAACATTTGGACTGTAAAAAATGCTCAGTGTGTCATATGCATTTAGTTGCCATTTCTAGTTTAGTGATATAGCAAAAGAAGGGAATACACAGTCCCTTTTATAACCTGTGCCAGAGCTAAGCCTTTGTAGTTCATTCTAGCCCTCATCTTTTGCAGCCTTTCTTATGTTGGTCCTGACACAGGGGCCTCTCTCTTCATTCTAGCCTACATAGTTTGAGTCTTGTGCTTAGGAAAGTTGACTGGATATACCCAGCTGGGTATGCTCATTGAATGAGGAAATGAAAAAGGGTTATAAACAAGGTCTACATATTGTAGAGAGGTGTGAGGGCTTTTTCCCCCCTTTTAGTTTTATGCAAAACCTGCTTTTTCAGATAATCAAATCTGATACATTTGAATTGAAATTATAAGACCAAAGTTTAGTCAGTGTTCAGCTTGAACAAGAGGACAACAAAGAATACAGTCAAAAGATTTTGATTTTCCAGAAAGTAACAAATCATTGATATAAGGAAAGGTTTCCTATTTTATTAGAGAATTCCAGCTAATAAATGGAAAAGGAATAAACAAATTGAAAAATCACCAGTTTGAAACCTCTAATGAAATAATGGATCTTCTTTACTTTTTAAAAAAAAATTTATTTTTTAGTTTTAAGTGGACGCAGTATCTTTATTTTTCATTTATGTGGTGATGAGGATTGAACCCAGTGCCTCATGCATGCTAGGCGAGCACTCTACCACTGAGCCACAACCCCAGCCCCAAATCTTTATACTTTTCAGACAATGTTTTACTTTTTATTATGAAAGATTTCAAAGCAGGCGCTTAGAATTTGGCATATTATGGTTATGTGGTCTCAGGAGGAAATCTTACCTACAGATAATCTTGTGTTCTTTTAGGTCGAAAAGGTTTATAAGAATGGGTGCCGACTTATACTATTTCCCAATGGGACTCGGAAAGAAGTAAGCGCTGATGGCAAGAGTGTTACTGTCAATTTCTTTAATGGTGATGTGAAGCAGGTCATGCCAGATGAAAGAGTGGTATGTTTTCCCAGGGATGTTTTCTTTAAGCTCAACCATTTGAACCATCTTGGGAGAAAGGGCTTCCTGACCTTATGTCTTTACAGATCTACTACTATGCTGCTGCCCAGACAACTCACACTACATACCCAGAAGGACTTGAGGTCTTACATTTTTCAAGTGGACAAATAGGTACAAACTTGCTCTATCCTCTATTAAATTCTTCCCTTTCTTTAAAAATAAAATAAAAGATTCACGGTAACCTTTTTAAAACAGAAAAACATTTCCCAGATGGAAGAAAAGAAATCACATTTCCTGACCAGACTATTAAAAACTTATTTGCTGATGGACAAGAAGAAAGCATCTTCCCAGATGGTACAGTTGTCAGAGTACAACGGTATGGCATCTGTTAAATTTGTTTCCAGATTCTGTTTACATGGTTCAACTTTTATTACCATAGGATTTTAAAAAATCTAAAACATTTACTTATGTCATTCAAAATTTCAGTGAGATCAGAGAACAAAGTTAAAGACTTAGAGAAAAACACAGTGTTAGCATTTTGAAGTTAAAAATAGTGAGAAATAAATCCATGCATGGTGGCACCCTTCTGTATCCCAGCAGTTCGGGAGACTGAGGCAAGAGGTTTGGGAGTTCAAAGCCAACCTGGCTCAAAATAAGAAAAAGGCTGGGGATGTGGCTTAGTGGTTAAGTGTCCTTTGGTTCAGTCCCTGATACCAAAAAAACAAAACCCAAGAAATAGTGTGAGGTAACATGTTGTCAAGTTTAGAGTTGAGTCTACACAATATTTCAGGAAAGGGGAATGACAAGTAATTGTTTAAAAGTAAGTTTTTGTGCTGGGAACCATGGCACACACCTGTAATCCCAGTGACTTGGGAGGCTGAAACGGGAGGGAGGATCGTGAGTTCAAAGCCAGCCTCAGCAAAAATGAGGTGCTAAGCAACTTGGAGAGATGCTATCTCTAAATAAAATACAAAATAGGGCTGGGGTTGTTGCTCCAGTAGTAGAGCACTTGCCTAGCACGTGTGGGTTCAATTCTCCGCACTGCAATATAAGTAAATAAAGGTCCACCAACAACTAAAAAAAAATTTAAAAAAATTAAGAAGTGAAAAATGAATTTTAAAAAAAAGTAAGTTAAAATTTGAAAACATTGAAATGAGACACAAAGAAGGCAGGCAGTACCCGGTAAAATTTTAAGAATCACAAACTAAACTATGGCAGCAGTATGTAAATTCAACCCTCTTTTCTCTCTTGCTTGTGTTCTGAATTTCTGCACCTCTTAAGTCTGTTTAAGTGGCCTCTCTGATGCAGTTCTTTTAAGTTCTTTAAAAATCACAACCTCATCTGTAATCACAGCGGCTGGGGAGGCCTGAGACAGGAGGATCACAAGTTCAAAGCCAGACTCAGCAAAAGCGAGGCATTAAGCAACTTAGTGAGACCCTGTCTCTAAATACAATAGGGCTGGGGATGTGGCTCAGTGGGCAAGTGCCCCTGAGTTCAGTCCCTGGTTACCTCCCCCCCTCACCCCATGAGTGTCACCTTTCTCAAAGATAATGTTTCATGGCCTTGCCTGCCCAAATCCATAATAGTTTATTATCCTCACCATTTTAATTGCGACCATAATGAAACTACCAAATCCTGTTTTCTGTTTTTCTCCCTTTCTTAGAGATTGAAAGTACCTATTATCTTAAATGTTTGTTATATTTAACTAACTGAATTCTATGATATAAACTTGGCAAAAAACAAGGTAAAAACACTTAATAACTGGGGCTATACAGTGGTAGACTGCTTGCTTGCCTTGTGTATATGAGGCTCTGAGTATAAATACCCCTGTATTTACAAAATTAAAAAAAAAATCATTCATTTAGATAACATAGAGACTTCTTATGGTCATTTAGGCCCTTACCCTGATTGGAAACTTCATCTGGTATTCAAGTAAATAAGTAGCAGTCTGTTTTAAAATTAGAGGAAAAACATATATATTATACTTCAAGTGCTATCAGAAAATTAAGATTTTTTTTCTTACATTTGAAATTTTGTGTAATAAAATGTAGAGAATATGATACAAAAAAATTTATATACCTGTTTATCCAAGTACTAACTCACAACCAGTCTTTTTCCATTTTTTCACAGACAAATCCCAGGATTATTTTGGCATTTCTAATTTATAGCAGTGGTTCTCAAAATTTAGTGTACATTAAAATCAACTGGATTGTTCAGGGTTATCTTGATGAGTCCCCTACTCCAGTAATTTATGTTTCTGATCAGTTTTTAAATGCTGCTGACACTGTGGAGGGCAGGAATCTCCTGGGTAAGCAGTAGCTTCTCAGAATAGCTTTGGAGTCCCCATACGTGTACTCCTCATGCAGCCATTACATTTGTAGGAAAAGAAGAAACCACACAGTACTAGTACCAGTCTTTGTTCAGAAGTGGTGATTCCTAGTCTTCTACCCCAGCCTATACTTCTCATTAGACTTGTGTCAGAGTTCAGTTTGAATGTCCACACATCAGGCAATCAACTTGGGTGTTAATTTTTTCATTCTCTGCGTTAAAAAAAATTTATTGTGGTACTAGGGATTGAGCCCTGAGGCTATCATGAGTTATTACATCTTCAGCCCCCCCCCTTTCATTTATTTTTTAGTTGTAGTTGGACACAACACCCCTACTTCACGCGTTTACCCCTGTATGGGGTGCTAAGGACCAAACCCAGGGCTTCGCACGAGCGCTCCACTGCTGAACCACAACCCCAGCCCTCAGCCCCCCTTTTTTGAGGCAGGATTTCAGTTGTTGAGGCTGGCCTGAACTGGAGAGCCTGCTGCCTTAGTCTCCCAAGTAACTGGGATTACAAATGTGTGCCATCATGGCCTATTGGCCTTTTTCATTGTTTCAAAATAGGCTGTCCTAAGTCTAATCATGTCCTTCCCAAGTACAGCTTTCTTCCCCACCTGATACAGAACAAGCACTTGGATGCTTTTAACTTAGTGAAAGGAGGGTTAAAACAAAACCACAAAAACTCCAAAATAGCTAGATTTTAATATAATGATCAACTTTTTAGAAGCAGAACACATATAACATTAAAAAAAAACAGGCATTTTTGTAGTAAAAATGTTTATTAAAGCAAACTTTATCTGATAACTGAAGCTGTTAGCCTGCAGCAGAAATTCTATAGAAAGAACATGGAGCTATAATAAGGACTAAAGGTATTGTCCACAAGAAAAATAACTGCAGAATCAAAAGGTTACTTTTAAGGAGTTTTCTTTCCCTTTGTGTGCACATTTTTTTCTTTTTCTTTTTTTAGTGGTGCTGGGATTGAACCCAGGCTAGGCATGCTAGGCCAGTGCTCTGCCACCAAGTTACGCCTCAGCCCTATTACATATTTTTAAAGAAATTCTATTTTAATTTTTACAGTGACGGCAACAAAATCATAGAGTTTAATAATGGCCAAAGAGAACTCCATACCTCCCAGTTCAAGAGAAGGGAATATCCAGATGGCACTGTTAAAACTGTCTATACAAATGGTCATCAAGAAACCAAGTATACATCTGGTCGAGTACGAGTTAAGGACAAGGATGGTAATGTCCTAATGGACACAGACTTGTAAATGATCCTTGTATGACTATAATCATGAATACTGATTTTCCTGTCAAAAATGTATATTTCTTGTGAATTCTGTTTAATTTATTATAGATTCTGTATGTATGTGTGTGAATAAATGTAAAAAGATTGTTTGCAGGAATGCATAGTTTCTTCATTTTATATTTGAAATGCACAACGACAGCTTTCATTTATAAGTCACCTATCCTGTCTTTCTACTGTTAGTTCATACGTTATGTTTTCAAGTTTCTAAATAATGTTTTGCATTGGAGATGGTTGTAAAAACCAGGAAGTACAAGATGTATGTCACATAAATGCCTCCCAGGCACAGCAGCCATAGAACATGGACTTGCACAGAGTGCATACTCGGGTGTCTCTCTCTAACCAGAACATTAGTGTTCAATTGGTATTACAGTTAAAATGATCAACAGAGGCGCATTAATTTAATAGAATGGGAAGTTACAACAGTGAGTGAATACATATATTTCCAACAGTATTATAGGTAGTGGTATATAATCTTATACTAATTAGTTATAACAAGGCTGAAAAAATAGGACACCTGAAAGAGAGGTGGCTGTGAATAAGTAACTAGCCTGGTACTGATGGACCGCACCTTTATGTTATCACCAATGATGCTGTAGAGAAGCGAGGTGTCTTGAAGAAGGGCAAGTCAGTCACCTACTCTATATCATAAATAGGACAATAAATTTTGATCATACCTTGGTTTAAAAAAATATATATTTTTTTGTATTAAGGATTGAACTCGGGGGTGCTCTACCACTAAGCTATATCCTCCTCATCTTTTAAAAATTTTACTTTGGATAGGGTCTCACTACATTGCTGGCTTGGAACTTGCAATCCTCCTGCCTTAGCCTCTGAGTAGCTGGTGTATGCCACCTCCCCAGGGTAGGAAAGTAAGTTGATAATGATTCATTTTAAAAAAGAATGAATGTATCAGCCCGTGCTGTGGTGCATTCCTGTAATCCCAGTTGCGGGGGAGACTGAGAGAGGAGCATTGTGAGTTCAAAACCAGATTCAGCAATTCAGTGAGATCCTATCTTGAGTACCCCTGAGTTCGATCCTTGGTAGCAAAAAAAAAGAAGAAAAAATCAATTCCAGGTGATTTAAAAACTGAATATGAAAACAAAAGTTCACAACTTTTTCATGAAAATGAGCTATATTACCTCAGGATAGGGAAGAATTTTTAAATAAGACACACACACACACACACACACACACAAAATCCCACACAAATCTTAAAGGTTATAAATGAATGAAAAAATGTCAAAAGCTAGTACAAGAAAGGGAAAAGGATGCTGGTTGTGGTGGTGCACATCTATAATCCCAGCTGCTCAGGAGGCTGAGGCAAAGAAATGCATGTTGAGGCCAGCATGGGCAACTTGGCGGCAAGACCCTGTCTTAAAATGAAAAGGGCTCAGCTCAGTGGTAAAGCCCTTTCCTCACATAGGGATGTTCTAGTTTCAATACCCAGCAACCCATACCCACCCCACCAAAAGCCATAGGCTAGAAGACTAGATGATACATAAGCCTGACAAAAGATTACTATAGTAAAATTATAACTCAATAGAAAATTGAACCAAAGCTATGAATATAATTCTGTTAATAAACTAGAAAATGCATATTAAATGCACATTAAAACAATGATACACCTTTTTATACTCATGTCATATTCTGGCATACAAAGGTCTGGCTATACTCTGGTAAACTTTAGATAACCATTTTTTTTAGAAAGTAATTACCCTATGACCCAGCAAATCCCACTATTATACATATATATATACTAGAAAACCTCTCACATGAGGCCTTTAAGAAAAAACTGGTAATCAGATATCTGATACCTAATAAATCATGCACAAAATGGGTATAGCAGTGAAAGTGAGTAAAATAGATCTACACACACCAATATAGCTAACTAGTGCAAATAAAATAGAAAATAAAAGTTAACAGTGTGATTCCACAATCATTAAAAAATACACAGAGCAACAGTGTGTCTGATTTATGGATACATTCATATACAGTGAAATCATAAAGACCCATGTGAGAAGTCTAAATATCAAATCACATGATGTCTGTCTTAAGCACAATCATTAAGTTTATGAGCTGGGGTTGTGGCTCAGTGGCAGAGCACTTACTTGCCTATCTATGTGTGAAGCACTGGGTTCAATTCTCAGTACCACATATAAATGAATAAAATAAAGGTTCATCAACATCTAAAAATGTTTTAAAAGTTCATTTTTCTTAAACTATTTAATTTTAAGTTTATAGTAAAACAAAACATGAAAACATTTGAAAGCAAATATGTTTATTGACTATTTTTTCACACCATTTTTATCAGTTCAATATGTAAGAATAAGGGGGAGAAAAAAAGAACAGCACTACTTGCAGAACAAATGAAGAAAACTAAGCCTGAAACAGAAAACTTCCCTCTGGTCTCTTGTAGATGTTCTGCACTGTCTATACCTAAAAAACAAAATGTGTGTTACTTTAAACCTCTGCTTTATGTAAATTGTTCACATACAGTTGTTGAATCACAAGAGTTATGTGAATGAATAAGATAAGAGGTATCTGTTAACCCAGTGCTTTAAAAACTAGCTAACTGTTCAGTCATGCCATATGCACACCACAGTCATATGCCCTGAATTACTTATGGTGCTCACTGTCCTGCTCGCCCTATACCCATCTGGTACTAGGACGGTCACAACAGCCATTCCAGTGTTCTCATAAACATGGGGCCTCTGATGCTGATGCTCAAGAGGTAAGAAGGGCCTAAGAAGAAATTTGGAGGAGAGATTCTTGTAGAGTTTTGTTGTCATTCCTTTGAGAATCAAGGAAAATCAAAGGGTGCTTTTATAAGCAATTCAGCATTATTTATGCTATGGCAGTCACATGCTTCATGTCAAATGGAAGAGTGGATGAGAAAGTACACTTACATCATTCATCTCTGTCTGCCAGCCCCATTTCTACTAATGACATATGAACTGGATACTGTTCATCTTCATATAATGTCACTATTTGTTCTGGTGCCTGAGCCTAAAATTGAAAGATACAGCTGTCAACAAAACCATGTCTTTGCTGCCCTTTCCTTTCTACTCTGGCCATTCAATACACAGGAGGGAAAAGTCATTCTCTAGACTTATTTCTAATTTATACTTTGTATTTCCAAAAGGCATCAGCAATGTTTCCTGCTAAATCCACTCTTTCTTCTGCTCTATCTAAACTGTAATTAAGTCTCAATGTTTTCCTAGATGGACTTTAATTAATTACCATTATCCATGTTAAAGTTGATCTGCTGCGCTCCACACTCAAAGTCCCCTGTTTGCATAAACGGAATATATTTGATTGTTATTCACAAAGGTGAAAAAAAATACTTATTTGTAAGAAATACTTGCCCTGGCCTCTTGAGCGAAATCCTACATGAACTCTACACACACACCACTGTGACATGCATAGGGGTTTTTTAAACAGCACTTTCTAGTAACATTACTGTCTCATGAACTCATCATTCTTTATGTGTAAATCCCAAAGTCATGGATGGGACCAGGCAGGTAACATAAAGGAAGGAGGGAGGCAGGCAGGGTCAATACCAGTAATAAGGATGAGGACAACCTCTGAAGGTCAACTTTCCATCTAGCACCAGTCTAGCTGACTGCCTTACTGGGAAGGAGATTGGGGATTTCTATAATATAGATATGTTTCTATGATAATCCTCATCCCTGCAAATTAACCTAACCCATACCTCTGTGGTAATACTTATTGCATTCTAACTCAGATTAAGTAGTGGTTTGCATGTTTGTTTCCCCTCATTAATTTACAAGTTCTTTAATTACAAGTTATATAGCTTGATTATTTAAATCTTACTCATTACCTATCATGATAGAGATAATAAATTTTGTTATATATAAAGTAAAATACCATTTAACAAATCTTAAGATTTTTCTTGTAGTATGCACAGCTTTTTATGCCTTAACTATTACATTTCTGCATGTAGATTTACATAGAAACAAAACACTACAAAATTAATAGGAACTGCTGGAAATAGTTTTTAAGAGAATTTTGGCTAATAAAGATAGATATTTACCATGGAGGAAGCATAGAGCTGTTTTCCTTGAAGACAATCTATCATGGCCCACAATGCCTCCATGCTCCACTTGGGACAATATGGTATTCTTGTCTTTCCTGAGTCTCTTATAGGAGGTTTAAAACCAGCCAAGAGAACCTTTATGGCTCGGGCTGGGTACTGCATAAGATGAAGAGGAATTTGACGCAGTCTGTCACAAAAGAAATTTTTTAAATGTTTAGAATGTTGCAATTCAAATTCTCTTTACAGTTGAAACTATAAAACTCTTAGGAGAAAATATAAGGGAAAAGCTTCATGATGTTGGATTTTGCTATGAAACTAAAAGCATAACCAAGAAAAGAAAAACCAAATAAAATGGATCTCAAAAGTAAAAACTTCTGTGAATTAAAGGACATAATTATAGTGTTAAAGCAGCCCATGGAATGGAGGAAACTATAAATAAAAATGGACATTTCTCCAAAGAGAATATACAAATGGTAAAAAAAGCACATGAGAAGATGTTCAACATCACTGATGATTAGGGAAAGGCAAATCCAATTCACAAGGAGTTCCTACCTTGCACCCATTAGGATGTGAAGGGAAGGAGGGCAAGGTGGGAGGGCAGGAAAGGAAGGAACAGAGGTGGGAGAGAGACAAACTCCCCAAACAGGAAACCACTGTTGGTGAAAAGCTAGAATCCCTGGGGGAACTGCTAATGGGACTATAAAGTGGTATAGCTGTTATAGAAACCAGTTTATGACAGTTCCTCAAAAAATAAACTTAGAATATTTGATCTAATAATTCCATTTCTGAATATATATCTAAAATAATTGAAAACAGGATTTCAGATATTTGTATACACGTTGATATGAACAATATTCACAACCAGTAAAAAGGTGGAAGCAACACAAGCATCCACTGATGGACAAATGGATAAATAAGATGTGGTGTGTATAAACGATATTATTCAGCCTTAAAAAATGAAATTCTGGCACATGCTACAACATGGATAAATACTGGAAATAATGCTAAGTAAATAAGACAAAAGGATGAATACTGTATGATTTTACTTATATAAAGTACTTAGAATAGGCAAATTCATAGAGACTCAAAGTAATTGAGTTATTAGAGGCTTGCGGGGCGGGTGGGGGGTGTCAAATGGGTTGATAACAGAGCTTCTGTTTGATGAAAAAGTTCTGGGAATGAAAAGTGGTGCTAGTTGTGTAACACTGTGTAAGTATTTAAAGCCAATTAATTATATATTTAAAAACAGTTAATAAATTTATGTATATCTTATCACAATAAAAATCTAGACTAAAAATCATTAATACATAATCGGCTTTAGTTTTTTTTTTTCTTTTAAAAGCAGAGGTAAGATCTTCTCCCAAAACAAAAAGGAATCATTATTTGACTTTTTTTTTTTTTTTTTTTTACCTGTTTACTGTCAGCTTTTCAGTTGATCCATAATCAACAAACTGTACCAGGAGAGATAAAGGATTAAACTCTTTAATGGATACAATCTTTGCTCTATACCATAAGCCATCAGCATATTCTGCAAGGCAAGGCATTTCTGGAAAGGCAGGAAAAGGGGAAAATCATAAAATTGCCTATGATTCTTTTTTTCTGAATATTTTTTTTTATTGCCAGTGGACCTTATTTATTTATATGTGGTGCTGAGAATCAAATCCAGGGCCTCACACATGCTAGGTAAGCACTACAACTCCAGCCCTGACTCTGATTTTCTTAAAAATATTTTAATCTAGAAAAGTACAAAGATGTAAATATAACAACCATATGCTCACTACCCAGAATTAAATAGAGAATTGCTTTATGTTAGCCTCTACTGCTCATATTTTATAAACTTGCCTTACTAATTCCTTAACATTAAGCTTTGAACAAAGCCACTTTCACATCCTTAGAATTCCTAATTTTATTTTCATGGCTTAGGTCACCTTGCTACCAGTCCACTTCTTCCAAACCTCTCATAGTTTGGGTTATGTTTTGCAAGGGAAAAGAAATAGTTTCTATAGTTCCTGTTTTCAATGCTGTCATCCAATCCTTCTGTGTTAAACAACCATATTAATTAAATTTTATAAGTTCAATTACACTGCTCTTATTTAAAAATTTTCAATGGCATCCTAACTGCCTGCATACAGTCTGTAACACTGCAATTTATGGGCTTCTTCAGAGCCTTGCAAGCAATTCCTACATCATGTACTCAATTAGTTACCTCAACATGATTATTTAATTTTAAATCTTAATGACTGTACTTCATCATATTCATGTCTGTTCCTCTATCAAGAATTTTCTCCTAGGAGTGCAAGTCCCTGAGAAACTGAAGAAGAATCAGTGATCAAAATGCCTGGTAAAGCAAATCCTTCTGAGAAAAAGTCTTAACAGTTGAAAAGAAATTCAAAAAGAAAATTCAATAATGAGGAACTGGAGTTGTCAGAGAAACAGGTTAGAAAAACAGGAAAAAAAATCATCCAAAGTATTTATCTTCTTCAAATTTTTGACAAATAAAACTAATATAAAACAGATAAAGACAGCATCCAACAGAGAAAAACTTGGCAATCTCTTTCAAGAGTACCAGACAGCATTTGCAAACTATGATACAATCAGTAATAATAGCAATTCTGAGTAATACTATTAAGGAAAAAGAACAAATTCAGTATCAACTACCTGAAAATAAGATTGCTATAATTGTGTGAAACCATGAAAGTTCCTCCCAGAAAGCTGAAATATTTAATGTTTCAGATCTACAGAAAATGGAGAAGGCATGAGATGGAGCTAATGAAGGAGGAGGTCTGACATTACTAAGAAGAGACCACAGAATCAATGACTGAAAATATTCAGAGACTTAAGAACAAAATTCAAATTGTGGTACATGAGGTAGAAAAGGAGAAGGTAAAACATGCTTCAAATGAATTTTAGTGGGGTACTCTTAGATGTTCTTTACAATTCGTACCAGATGAAGAACTTGATGTTTTATCAAAGAAGCCTGTAAGAAATTAGATCTCTTTAAGAGTTTATAGGTTGTTTCATATTAATTTAATGTTTACGATATTAGAAAGGTCAAAGCCTAATATGCACTTTATTCTTTTTGGGGTACTGGGGATTGAACTCAGGGGCACTTGACCACTAAGTCACATCCCCAGCCCTATTCTGTATTTTATTTAGAGACAGGGTCTCACGAAGTTGCTTTAGCGCCTCGCTGTTGATAAGGCTGGCTTTGAACTTGCAATCTTCCTGTCTTAGCCTCCCAAGTTGCTAGGATCAGAGGTGTGCGCCATTGCGCCTGGCCTGCACTTTAAAATTAGTATGTAGTCCTGAAAACTCTGTGTAGAGCAGTTGCTAAATCTAGAAAATAGATTTAGCAAAATCAATATTTATATTGTTGTCTTGCATTTATTTGCCTAAACCCATAACATAAGAATACCCATGATCTAATGATTTATAACGGCAGAATGAAGCTTATTGGTTAGCATGGAAGAACTGTTACATTGAGACTTCATATATGAAAAGTGTTTATGTATAGTGCCTAATGAATAATGAAATAAGTATTTGCTTTAGCTGATAGCTTGCATTTTTCTGTCTAGTCACCTGGAACTGAGAAATTCTCAGGTGCCTTTACTCTTACCTAACTCAGTCTTTTGGGGAGTCATTAAGATTTGCCAGGTATCTTAAACTTTTTTTTTTAATATTTATTTTTTAGTTTAGTTGGACACAGTACCTTTGTTTTATTTATTTATTTTTATGTGGTGCTGAGGATTGAACCCAGGGCCTTGCAGATGCTAGGCAAGTGCTCTACCGCTGAGCCACAACCCAAGCCCTTAGGTATCTTTAATTTTAAAGTACCATCAACATTTTATTTCTTTGGTTATTGAGTAGATATTGGATATTTATGATTAAATCATTCTTATTTTAAAAAATTATTAAAAAGGAACTTAAGCACCTTTAGTCCTTAAAACAAAAATCAACCAAAAACTGTTTTGGGAAAACAGTGTTCAAGAACTGGCTGCCAAAGGCAAAAGGTAACTTAAACCAAAGAAGGCAGCAGATAAATTCAGGATTATATAAAATGCAGTTTATTGGAGACTATGGAGTGTCTTGTGTGGCAGCAAGACAAAAGAATCCCTTCACCCTACAGCAGGAGGAAGCTAGACAAAGGTATCCCACAGCTGACCAAAATGCACCTGGGCTTTCTCAAATACTGTTAACATGTCAAAAGTCAGTTAAGAGACAGTTCAGGTGTCAGTGTCTACCACAAATGCTCAGCTGACTATGTTAATGGATTTGCTTATCGTATAGAGTTTGGAATATATGCCAGAGTCACCTGGTAGTGAGATGATGTTTACCACCAAGGTGGCTATAGTCATTTAATGCTGGATCCCTATAAATCCCTTTCTTATAAAACTGTCTTCATCATGTAGTAAGCATATATGTGTCAACAAGTGATTATTTCTTTGGTTGGTTAGTGAGTAGATATTGGATATTTATTTTCTGCCTTGTACTTTAGAGGTGTGTAGTATTTCAGTGTCATTTGTTTATATATCAATAATCTTTCCTAAGCCACTACTGTGTATTATCTTGGTTCTTTTATCTATTTGTAAAATAAATTAACTATAGACTGAAAAAAAAACAAAGAAAAACCAAAACACACTCCTGAGGTCCCCCCTTTTTGAGGATGGATACTGGGTACTGAACTCAGGGGTGCTCTGCCACTGAGCTACATCTCCAGCCCTTTTTATTTGAGACAGAGTCTTGCCAAGTTGAGGCTGGTCTGGAACTTGTGATCCTCCTGTCTTAGCCTCCTGAGTCACTAAAAACAGCAGTGTGCCACCATGTCTGGCCATCCTGAGCTCTTCTTTTTACATCTAGTCTTCTTTTAACATGACTTAAAAAGTTCTGACTATAACTGATCAAAGCCTTCTCTGTGATCCTGTGGCATTATACACAGTCTTTAATATGAGCTGTTACTTTATACTAAGATTACATGTCTATCTACCTGTTCTTAGGAATGTAAACTCTAATTCTGAGCTCCAAAGAATATGGTATCTGGTGAAAATTCTCAATATAAAGTGTGTTAATGAACGGCAGGCTTGAGTAAAACTGGGAACATCAGCATAGTATTTACACCCTTCTAAATTTTAAAGTAGGTAGAATATGCCTCAATATCCTGTTTTATTCTACTTCCTATATCATGCTCTCTAGATAATTCCACAAGGAAAAATAGAGTTGTGAACAAATGACACTGAAATACTACACACCTCTAAAGTACAAAGATCTTTATTTTAAGTAATCTAAAAATTTTTTCAATTATGTATTTTTGCTGTGCTGAGCCTTGAAACCTTGTACATGCTAGGCAAGTACTCTACCACTGACCTATATATTCCTACCCCCTCAGATAATTTTTTATTAGTTATTCCTGAAGGTGTAAAGTCATCAATTGAATAATAAAGAATCTCATCTATCTGTTCTGTCCTGCATAGTTAGTAACTGAAAATATTGTTAACAGTCCAACTTTACCTTGCTAGCCTTAAAAATATGGCTTTTTAAAATAGAACTTAAAAAACCCTGAAACTCCTATTTGTCATTTTAACACAAAAAACCCTCCTTTGATATAAATTCCTTATTGAACATACCTATGCATTACTTTAACTTTCATACTTTAAATAAATTTTTATTGAAGTATAAAATATTCATCAAAAATGCACAAATAATGGATGTTTAACTCCATGAACTCCATGTGACTTCCCTTGAGATATGAACAAAATGAAGAAGGAATTGTTCCCTTTGGACTGTAAACAGGGAATATATGAAAAAAAAAACCATGAGTTTTATTTACTCATTTGATATTTATAATTTTATAAGCACCTACTTGTGTCAGGTATTCCTCTAATTGCTGGTGACCCTGAGTCACCTACTCCAGTGCTATTTAAAAGAGGTGAGAAGAAGGATGGAGATTTGGGGGCATCTGAAGGTGGAGTCTGTTTTACATTGAGAGGTCAGGAAAGACTTGCAATAAAGGAACATTTGAACAGAGACCTAAACTGTCACAGACAGTCTGGGGAAGAACATTTCAGGTGGAGGCAATTGCAAGCAATATTCATCAGCCAAAAGTAGATCATGACCTATTAAAATCTCCCTGGACTGCATGCTGCCTGCCAACCCCTCAGAAGCTCTGCTTTTCAGTGGCTTTCTCAGTGTTATTTAAGCAAATGAAATATGCTTGTTCTCATTTTATTTGTTTATGTAATATTTTTGTGCTACTTCAGTAAGAGAATGTATTTTAATAACCTTATGTACTTAATAATCATAGATATTTGTGACAATATTTTTGTAGTCACAGAATAAAATAAGCATTGCACTCTGAAAAAAATAAAAAATAAATAAAATAAAATCTCCCTGGAGAGGCTGAGGCAGGAGGATTACAAGTTTGGAGGCCAGCCTTATAAACTTAATGAGACTCTGTCTCAAAATTAAAAAAAAAATTAAAATAAGGTAAGACATGAATTAGGTTGATATACTTTTTCCTTTGCTAAATAAAGTATCTTCTGATGATTAAATACACCTCTATCACATATTGATATAAATGTATAGGCACTCTTGGTATTCACGAACTGTCAAACCACAAACTAAATAGATTTCCCTTACAGCAGAATCATGCATATTTAATAAAGCCTGAAAGAACAGACTGGACAGAAAAAAGGAATTTAACTGATCCTGATGGACCAGGACAGTCTTGAGTCCCCCCATCTCAAAATTATCAGTGTAGGTGGTTTATAATTGAATCACTGCAATTAAAGTCTAAATGGCAACTTTCACTATTTGAGCTAGTGGTAAAACTTCATGCTTAGAAAATGATCTTTTATACTTTATGCTGTCAATTTCCCAACATATAGTTTTTTGGGGAAGTAGAAATATCCCAGAGGATTTGCTTAACTCCTCTTTTAGTTTACCTTCCTACTCTAGAAAATGGGGGAGAGATTATATCCAAGTTATCTTTGGAATTTGAAGATTTCATGCATGTAAAATGAGTATAAGAAAATACAGTTAGCATTAGCAATAACCCAAACTCCTGTCCATTACAAAAATCAAGTTTTGCTAGTAACCTTATTTTGTTAAAAAAAAAAAAAAGTATACCTGTTCTAAAATCTGTCAGAGGAGGGAATGTCTCTACATTCTTATTAAACCTCTGCAGTGCTTCTTCAAGACTCTCGGATTCCGATTCCCAGGTGATGTCATCTGTGTTACTATGATGGTTACACTGACTACAGTTTTCTACAGAATCAAGGCAAATGTACACCTAAATGGATGGAAGGGAAGGAAAAGAACTTTCAAGTTTTGTAATTTCTAGTATTCACTTATGTGGATGAATTATTGTGGCAAGTGGTCTCAAAGCCCCAATGATCCTTGCCTCCTGCTGCTTACCTCACTGTAGTTCCCTCCCATATTCTACTACCCTGATTTTGTAGCCAAAACACCACCATTTGAAGTAGGGTGTGACTATTGAGGCTGGATAAGAGACATGTGGCTTTGTTCTCTGGTGCTCTTGTTGGGGAATGCAAGCTCCAGGAAGTCTGTAGTCACAGCCTAAGCAGGCCACTGGAAGGGCCTCAAGGATGCAGAACTGATCTCTCCAGGTAACGTCATGTCTTTTTAAAAAGTGAATTCTACAGTCCTCATCAACATCTTGATTACAACCTAGACTAATCCTGACCTAGACTTAATTAAGCAGTGCTTTTTAACCTTTTTTTGTTTATTTTTATGTGGTGCTTATGGTTGAACCCAGTACCTCACATGTGCCAGGCAAGTGCTCTACCACTGAGCCACAACCTCAGCCCAATTAAGCAGTGTTTTTTGGGGGTACTGGGTATTGAACTAAGGGGCACTCAACCACTGACCCACATCTCCAGCCCTTTTTTGTATTTTATTTACAAACAGGACCTCATTGAATTGCTTAGTGCCTTGCTAAGTTGCTGAGGCTGGCTTTGATCCTCCTGTCTCAGCCTCCTGAACCGCTGAGATTACAGGTGTGTGCCACCATGTTTGGCCTAATTAAGCAGTTTCTAGATTCCTTACTCTCAGGTGTGTTGCTGTAAGCTGCTAATTTGGGGCAATTCGTTATGTAGCAATAAATAATACAAAAATTATTATAAAACCCAGCAATAGTTGTACACTACTATGGTCTCTGATGAAAGTAGACAACAAGTCCTTTCCTTCCTGTGAGACAATGGTTTATTATGTAAAAGGTTGAATGAGCTACTTCTGCTACCTGTCTTTCCCTCCTCCTTTTTGGCTAAGGACATGTAAGTTTGAATTTATTTTTTCTTTTTGCGGTACTGGGGATTGAAACCAGGGCCTTGCACATGATAGGCAAGAAATAACATTAGAAATAAGATAACTTTCTGGGAGCGGTGGTGCATGCCTGTAATACCAGTGGCTCAGGGGGCTGAGACAAGAGGATCTTGAGTTCAAACCAGCCTCAGCAAAAGCGAGGTGCTAAGCAACTCAGTGAGACCCTGTCTCTAAATAAAATACAAAATAGGACTGGGGATGTGGTTCAGTGATTGGGTGCCCCTGAGTTCAACCCCTGTACCAAAAAACAAAAACAAAAACAAAACCCTGCTTCCCCAGCCTGTAATAACAAAACTTAAGTTTTGTTAAGAATCTATTTCCTGGGCTGAGGCTGTATATCGGTGGTAGAGTGCTTGCCTCGCCAATGACACCACATAAAAATAAATAAAGATACTGTGTTCATCTAAAACTAAAAAAAAAAAAACAAAAAAAACAAAAAACCTATTTCCTTCAAAAAATAAGTATACCTGTTCTAAACTCTGATAGCGGAGGGGAATGTCTGTACATTCTTTTTTTTTTTGGTACTGGGAATTGAACTCAGGGCTGCTTACCCACTAAGCCACATTCCCAGCCTTTTCTTTTCTTTTTTTTTTTTTTAACTTTCTTTTTTAATGATTTATTTTGCATTACAATTCTTATTATACAATAATTTATCATATCTCTGATTATATATAACGTATGTTGACACCAAATTCACATCTTCATACCCAGCCTTTTCTTGAACTGTATTTAGGACAGGGTCTCACAGGATTGCTTAGGGCCTCACTAAGTTGCTGAGGCTGGCTTTGAATACATGATCTTCCTGCTTCAGCCTCCCGAGCTATTGGGGTTACAGGCATGCCCCACCATACCTGGCTGGAATGTCTCTGCATTCTTATTAAACTTCTGCAGTGCTTGTTTAGGCTCTTTTTCAAGGCTGTAACCCCTTCACTGAGCTACAACCCCAGCCCTTTTTTATTTTTTGAGACAGGGTCTCCCCTCAGTTGCTCAAGCTGTCCTCAAAATCGCAATCTTCCTGCCTTAGCCTACTGAGTAGCTGGGATTACAGGTGGTATACCTGTGCTGGGCTTTATAAGTGAATTTTCTTTATTGCATTATTCAGTCAGTCAACATTCACCTAGTGGCTACTAATATATATATATATGTGTGTGTGTGTGTGTGTGTGTGTGTGTGTGTGTGTGTGTGTGTGTGACTATTCTAAATTCTGGAAAATATATCAATGAATAACATGGATTAAGAGTCCTATTTTCATGGAGTTATTTTCCAGTGAGGAAAGTAGACAAACATCATAAATAGAAACAGGTTTTTTTTTTTTTCTGTATCACTTATCATCTAACAACTTACTAACCCACAGCAATCAGGGATTTTGGTATAGGAAAAAACCACTGCTAGTGAGATGTTTGTGATTTTATAGGAGGAAACAGTTCTATCTTAAATAACTAAAAAAAAATCAATATAAACACAACAGTGAGTAAAGGCACAAGACACTGAACCTAGAAGGTGTTACCAAACATCTGCTTCATGACAAACAATAAATGTCTGAGGAGGATATTACATGGTGAGGCCAATTAGAGATCACCAGTTTCACAATATTTACATTCAGGAAGCTGGAGAAGTGAAGAAGCAATTCTAATATTTAAAACGAAGATTGCTGCTATGTTTTTAACCACTACCAAATCACCCAGATGACATACTTCGTTAGGTGAGACAACGTGTTTCACTTGAACAGCATACAGTTCTTCTGGGGGAGGTAGAGATGAAGACAAATATAGTGGTAAAATAGGAGTCTCCGTTTCAGACAAAAGCAATTCCTGAAACACCACAAAAATTTCAAATTTCAGAATGACAATCACAAAAATTGACTATAGAAATTCATTCTGGTGTTAATTTACTTTCAATTAGCAGAAAGCAAGTTATCCTTAATATTGAAAATGACAATAGTTTTGAGGTAGTAGAAACAAAATGTTGTAAGATGTTTAGCTTTCTTTTGTCCTCCATCAACAATAATTGGCACTAATGAATAGGACTTGGGTATCTGAGGTGCAGAACAGGGGCAATTTCCTTTTGCCTTTACATGCTTCTGTAGTATTTCACTTATTTTTAGAATAATTATTTTCTAATAAAACTAAAATTATAAATGAAATGCTAAAAGATTAGTTAAAATCATCAAAAAAGGTGAGTATCTATCTTATCCATCTCTTCTGTTCTGCAGTGCTGGGGATTGAACACAAGGCCTTGCACATGTTAGGCAAGTGATCTACCACTGAGCTACTCCCCCATTCTCACATCTTTTTAAAATGTACTTTTTACTCCTTGTCCATCAATGGATAAAAGAATAAAAATGGATAAAGAAAATTATATATATATATATATATATATATATATATATATACACACACACACACACACACACACACACACACACACACATACACACACAATGGAATTTTATTAAGTCATAAAGAAGACTGAAATTATGTTATTTGCAAGAAAAGTATGGAACTTGAGACCATTAAATTAAATAAGCAAAACTCAAAGTCAAGGGTTGTATGTTTTCTCTCATATGTGGAAACTAGAGAGGAAAAATGAAAAGTGGTGGGGAATAAGTAGAGGAAAGGGATCAGGGGGATACAGGAGAAGAGGGAAGGAGGAAATACTGGGGAATGATATTAGCTTAATTATATTGTTACATTGTGTGTATGTATGAATATGTAACAACAAATCCCACCATTATGTACAAATATAATGCACCCATAAAAATATAGAAAAATTAATTTTTATTCTTAAAGAATATGATAAATAACGTAAGCAAATAAAATCATCACCTATTTGTAGGTTAGTTCATTACTATTAAACATTTTCAAATTCTGGACAAAACCAAAGCAAATATTATATCTAGGGATGTTCAGCAAAAGTGACTATAGCTGAATTTTACTGATTTGTTACAAAGTACCTACTTTACTACAAGCATGTTATGTTTATATCAAATAAATAAAATTCTACTAATAAAGCTTATTTATTAAAACTCTCCTTACACCAAAATACACAAGTGACTAAAAAAAACCACATAAATTTGACTTAACCAAAATTAAAAGTTATAGTGCTTAAAGGACACTATCAAGAAAGTGAAATGATAACCCACAGAATGGAGAAAATATCTGCAAATCCTGTACCGGAGAAGAGATTGTATACAGAATATATAAAGAACTCTTATAACTCAACAATAAAAAGATAATAAGATAATCCAACTAAAAATAGGCAGTGGATTTGAATAGATATTTCGCCAAAGAAAAAATATAAATGGCCAATAAACCCATGAAAACATGCTCAATATTATCATCAGTGAAATGTATATCAAAATCAGGATGGATAAAAAAAATTTACAAAAAATGGTGTGGACATAGAGAAAATAGTGTGAATGCAAAATGGTACAGCCCCTCTGGGAAAGAGTTTTATAGTTCCCTAAAATGTCAAACATATTTACCATGAGACCCAGTAATTCTCCTAGGTATACACCCAAGAAAAAGGAAAACACATGTTCACATAAAAGCTTGTACATGAATGTTCATAGCAATATTATTTACAATCACCAAAATGTGGAAACAAGCAAAGTGTTTATCGACAGATGAATGGATAAACAGAATATATCCATACAATGGAATTTTATTTGTCAACAGAAATACTTCTATGTACAACAACACACAAGGACCTTAAAAACATACTAAGGAACAAGAAAGGAACAAAGGACCACATATTGTATGATTCCATTTATATGAAAAGTCTAGAACAGGCATATCCAGAGAGAGAGAGATTAAGTGGTTGCCATAAAACTGGGGAATAATGGGGAATGAGTACTGTTTTTACAGGGTTTCTTTTTGGAAAGTTTTGGAATTAGTGGTAATAGTTGCATAACTCAGTGAACAATTCTAAGAACCACTGAACTGTACATTTTAAAAAGGTGACATACAGTATATAAATAATATATCAGTAAAGCAGTTATAAAGAAAGTTCTTACTTCCTCATCCTGTATCAGATCCTTTATGAAGCATGCAAAGTTTCCAAAGTATTTGGATTGTAACTTACCTCGAATTTTATTTCCCAACTTTCTTCCTCATACTTTTTATCGTAATCTGCTGGTTTCTAAAACAATATAATATCATTAATAAATAAAACAATTTTTATCTACATAATATTGTTTTAAAGCACTTTCATATTTCATCCCCACAGATATGGAGGCATTATGTTATGCTAAATATGTATCAATGATAATTAGTTTACTAGGAAACAGTGGTACCTAATACTTTTCCTTTTAAAATATGCACAGTGAAGAGTACAACTGGAAAAGAGGCTAAGTAATTTTTATCAACTGAGCTTAATACATGGAGAAACTTTTAGATAATACATGTCTGCGCATGCATGCACACATATACGTCTTTGCTTAAAAAAAAAAAGCTGGTGTGAGGATTACAGATACAAATTGACATTGCAGTTTTATGACTGAGAGAAGTAAGTAAATTTTGCTTGGTTGTATACTATCACTAAAATGAATGTTTAAACACCTAACAAGCAAACTGTTTCTCTAGAAATAAAAACATCTTGGATATAAAATATTATTATGTATATACTACTCCTCTCAAGGATTTTAAGCAGCTTGAAATGTGAAAATGTATCTAAAATATTAAAAATGGAAGCAGTAGGCTACAGAATAGGCTATTTCTTTAATATGTTATGCTGAAAATATGGCTCTAAGTTTTTCATAAGAAGATATACAGCAAAAACTTCATAAAGTTTGAATATCCCCCATACTTGGACCAAAACAATTCAGATCTTGGAGATTTTTGGATTACTTACACAGACTTTAATCCAAAAACTCAAAATGCTCCAAAATCTGAAAACTTTTTGAATATGATGCTGGCACTCAAAGGTTTAGAATTTTGGAGCACTTCAGATTTTAGAGTTTTGTATTATTCCTTCCTGTCAAATCAAAGGAAAAAAACATTTTGTCTGAGGAGCATTTTTTTCTATCACTGAATTCTACAGAGTTTTTATAACGTGTTTCCCTTGTTCAAACAATACTGGATAACATGGCATCTCATTAATTTTGAAGGTACAAAAACATTAATAAAATCTTAATGTAAATAAAGAGTTTTTCAGGACAAGCATGATGCAGTATATTGCTTTCTCAACAAAGAATTTACAAATTCTCATTCTTAGGTCATATATGTAGAATCATATTTAAGACCTGAGGTATAAAATGTAACAATTTAATCAGATATTTTCTATTGTGTAGATTCTTATAGAAAGTCACTTACTTCTTTAAATATCTCTTCACAGTGTTCAAAAGTGCAGTATTTATGGTGTGTCATAAAATAGGAAAGTGACATTCCATCAAAATAGAGATGAACAGACAATTTCCCCCATGGATTTTCAGGCAATTCCTATGTTAAGTTCAAAAAAGGAAGATTATTATTCTAAAAAATAAGATTTATTTGATGTGTTATAGTCAACAAATATGAAATCAGGCTTCCAACAATAACAGTATGAGCAGATAGCTTGACTAATGCTCATTTCATAGAATTTTCTTCCTGGTATTTGACTTTGATTTCTGTAAAATATATTTACATGCCATAATAGTATAATGTTTTCTAGTTATTTATTAGAAGCCATATATAATTTACTATTTATGTCAACTTCAGACAACAATAATAATTTATACTTAGTAGAGGGGAGAAAAGGTGTAGAGGTGAAGAAATAAAGTTCATTTAAAAAATATAAAAATGGCAGGAATCAGAAGACATTAAGTCTAGCTGGGCCTGGTAAAGCATGCCTATAATCCCAGCAACTCTGGAGGCTGAAGCAGGAGGATCACCAAGGTAAGCCTCGGCAACTTAGTGAGACCCTGTCTCAAAATAAATAATAGAAAAATGCTGGGAATGTAGCTCAGTGGCACATTGCTCCTGGCTTCAATCCCCAGTAAAACAAACAAAAAACAAAATATACAAAATATATTTACCAATATACAAAAAAATATATACAAATAAAACAATAAAACAAAAATACACACACCTGAGAAGGAATTAAAACAGTTTAAAAGCAGGATTCATTACAATGACTTTTTAAACTCTGACTAAAGGCTGGGGATATAGCTCAGTGGCACAGCTTTTGCCTTAGGCGTGAGGTCTGAGGTTTAATCCCCAGCATCACCAACCCCGCCCCCACCACTTCCCCCACCAAGCAAAAAAGAAAAAAAAAAGTAACTTTGCATAAAGTCCATTCACAATTATTAGGTATTGATTTAACCGTAATAGGTAAGCTTAAATTTCCACTGGTCCCATCCTTGTCTAAATTCAATTCATCTTCTCACTAAATTACAATAATTGTTTTCCAGCTGATCTCCCTGCTTTGATCTTTTCCTAAGACCCTGTCTCCTATCATCATAATATCCTGAGAGAAATACTAGATATATTTCACATCAGAGCCTACAGTGTATATATAGGCAACACAGGCCCTCAATGCAGCAGCTCTGCTATTCCTTTCACAGGCTACTGCTCCAACCTCAGAGCCCTTGGCACCTTCTCCAAGAACCGGGATGGTTTGTCTTCTCACCATTTTAAGGTCTAGGCTCAAATGTCACCTGACCACTGTTTTTAATGAGGAACCTCCTCCTCAGCAGCAGCACTTCTATCAGCATTTTCTGCTTTTTCTTCCAAGCGCTTATCATAACCCAATAGATTTTATAGTTTGTTTTTTCTTTTTTTTTTTTAGAGAGAGAGACAGAGAGAGAGAGAGAGAGAGACAGAGAGAGACAGAGAGAGACAGAGAGAGAGAGAGAGAGAGAGAGAGAGAGAGAGAGAGAGAGAATTTTTTAATATTTATTTTTTAGTTTTCAGCGGACCCAACATCTTTGTTTGTATGTTGTGCTGAGGATCGAACCCGGGCCGCATGCATGCCAGGCAAGCGCGCTACCGCTTGAGCCACATCCCCAGCCCAGTTTGTTTTTTTCTTGTTTTCTGGTTCCCACCACTAAAATGGAAGCCCCACAAGGCAGGCATTTCTGGAATGCTCTATACTTGAAGTAATTACAAGTGTAGGACTGTATCTCCTTTAGTATATATGGACAAGGAGCACATATAGGCATGTTCATACACAGCAGTCTTTGCTATACTACAATGGTTCTTCTGACTATGTTAAGCTAAGCAGCAAAGAGAGTCACCTTGACCAACTGAAAAATTTCAATCTGTACCTTACTTCAGTGACCTGCCATGTGGTCTAAGAGCAACTAAGAGAGGGGCTCTTAGTACTGACATAAGCTATTTTATTATTTAATTAAGGGTCTGTGGCTCTTTTTAGGTCTTCATCACTTTAATACAAAAATACTTTCCTCAAACAACTACAGGTTAACCTTCTTATACCTCATGGCTCAGAAACCTCTACTGGGGCCCAGCAACTATTACCTCAGTCTGCTGAATCCAAATCACCACTCCTCCTCCTCACAAAAGCCTCCACCATCCTGTCAGTTGTATATTTCTGAAAAACAACTCACTGTGCCTTCGTGCACTCACTTTCACGGTCAGGAGAACTCTACCATTTTTTTTTTTTTTTAAGGGATACCTCCATTCTCACCACCTCTGAATTTCTATTGTACTTTCCCTTTTTACCCTTCTTTTGGCTCTCAGCACACAGCTCTGTGGTGTGAGATTTTTAGGTTTATGTCTTGTTTCATTAACTAGAGAAGGTCTTTGGGGATAGGGCTTGTCAATGACAGGCTTTCTTAGATTACCTAACACAGCACTGTAAACACAGCAGTATCCTGAAAACTGCTGCATATATTTATGAACATCTTCAACAATGAGATATTGCTTCCTGTATCCAAGTAAGTGAGATGTTAATAAATACTCTTTCAAATTTCTGACTTTATTGGTTATGAAAGTCTCAGGTACTTGCTCAAAATTAAGCTTATTTAAAACAAGCCTAGGAACCAAAGTAGTTACTTCTCCGATGTTAAAGGATGATTCATATGCACATTTGAACACATAATAAGATGGCTTATCATAAAAATATTGCTAAAATGATGCTAATTGTAACATTTTATGGCAGATAATTTAAACCAACCATATATGCTTTAGACACATTACCATAATGTGAACATCCACCTCTCTCTTTGAAAGCAGCTCCTGAAGAAGCTCTATTGCATCTGGCTGCCAGACATTCCCAACCTATGTGGGATTAATACACTCAGATTCTTTCACAGTTTTACAAAGTGAGACAAAGCATAGAGCAAATAAATACACAAAGAAGTAGCTATCAACAGGTAATACTAGATAGCAATATAAAACACATAAGCCATTTTCAGAAAATATCATAGGTTTGAGATAAAATGACCTTTAAAAAATAATAGTTTGAGATTCTGCCTACAGTACTCATGCTTTTAAAGCATAACATTTTTAAAATGAGTTTACATTAAAAACAAAGTATCACAATTTAAAAAAAACTTAAAAGACCCATATATCAATGCAATACTAATACAGGGCTACAATACATTATTCATTAGGGAGCAGAATTTGTCATATTTTCATTTGTTAAGAGATTCATGTGGCAAGGCAGTAGGACTTCCTGCCAAGAGGCAAGTAATGAGCCATCTACATACACGTGGCTCCTCTGTCCCCTAGAGATCTTCTTGACGGCTATGTTACAGTGGACATCTTGACTGCAGTGTCATGAGGGACCCGAAGTTCAAACCACCCAGCTAAACCACTCCTAATTCTGAAGCCACAAAAACTAATGTATAAGTTATGGTTTTAGATCATTAAGTTTTAACTTTGTTATGAAGCAAGAGATCATTAATACATTATTTTAAAATCTGACTTCCAGCTAATTTGTTGTAATTTTATTCAATAAAGAAATAACTACATTTTTACAATTTTACAATTTTCCATCTATGAACATACTATGTTTTCATTTACTCAGATGTTTTATATTCTTAAGTATAATTTTATATATAAAGACCTTCTCGCTGTCCTATTAAACTTATTTGTAGGTATTTTATTAATTTTGTTACAACTGAAAGGGATTTAATAATACATTCTAATTTCTAAAAAATATTTTAAAATATTTAAAATTATTAAGCATTACTTATTACAAATTACTATATACTCACTGGTATAGTATGATACAGCTGACAAGGAATACAAAACTGTGGTGTATCAGGATATAGTAAAATAGGGTAAAGATGACACTGTGGAATTTTCTCAGTGAATCCATGATCTAAATATTGTACCTGAAACAGGTCAAATAAAATTTATAGTTAAAATTGGTTACTAAAAGCTAGGGGACAGAAGGGATTTCCTAATATTAACAACCATCACCAAAACAAAATGACTAAGTTTAGATAGTTAAATTTGGATTTGAAAAATTTGTAGGAAAAAAAGAACATTATATTCCCTTATTCTGTAGCATATCAAATCTCATTGTACAAAGGTTTTCTTACACATAACCTATAAAACAAAACTCTTTTTAAGAAACTGGCCTTATTAGGCCTTCCTTAATTAAGAGCAACTCTTTTTAAAAATGTTAATTCAGTTTCTGATTTAAAAATAAGGAATGCCAATAAGGTAGTTCTTCTGTCTCAACTCAGCAAAATGAACGTATCACATTTCTCCTTATCCTTCCAGCCTCTATTTTACATTCTACTATTCTGCATTCAGATCAACTTTTAAAAAAACTTCCACATGAGAGAGAACACATAGCATTATCTTTCCATGACTGACTTAATGAAATGTTTATTTAATGTTGACCATAGGATAAACTTGCAAGGTATCAGGTTAAGTAATGAAAAATTCATTGTGTATACCTGAAATGTAAAATGACCACAAGGGAAAAAAACTAATGATTAAACTATCAAAATACTATTGAATACATTTAAAATAAAACTAAGGTATTATGACATTATAAGAAATTAAATAAATAGTTCACCATCTTATTTATTTGGATTCCATATATGTAAAGCTCATGAAGTATGATAACTTGATAAAAACTGAATTCAATTCACTTTTGTAATAAAGAAGAAAAGGTAGGGGTTATCTGAATAACTCAAATGTATGTAAAAAGTGACTCACATGATTATAAACACATTGAAACTGTGGGTATCCAGTTGTTTAAGTATTCACCCAAAATTTGAAACCATTTTATTTCCATCAAAACCATTACAAATTTGTAGTTCAGCAGAAAAAGCACAAGACAGAAATTTAGAAATTAGTCCAGATTAGAATATAGACTCCAATATGACTACTCACTGACAGGGCAACCTTGGCAAGTCAATGAACTTAAACTTCAAATTTTTTTTTATTAAAATAGGAGTAATAACTTAGTCCAGGACAGTTGTAAAAAATTATAAAATATGAATTACAGATGTGAAAAAGCTAAAAAACCTTAAAATGCTATATAATTATTAAATATCTAACAAAATAAATATCTGACCAAGTAGAAACAAAAGACTTATTTTTTCCCCCTCACTTGAATTAAAAGTACACATTTCAAGTGTAAAATATCTTCATCAATTTTATTTCCTTACTTATATTCCTTCTCTCCATTTTATTTTTTTGTGGTACTGAGAATTGAACCCAAGGGTGCTCTACCCCTAAGCCACATTCCCAGCCCTTTAAAAATTTTATTTTGAGACAAGGTCTTGCTAAGTTGCCATAGTTGGCCTCAAACTTGTGATCCTCCCATCTCAGCCTCCTAAATTGCTGGGGATTATAGGTGTGCATGTCTTTGAAGGTATTTTTTTTAAAAGATATTTTTAGTTGTAGTTGGACCCAATACCTTTATTAATTTTTATGTGGTGTTGAGGATCAGGGCCTCACATGTGCTAGGCATGTGCTCTACTGCTGAGCCACAATCCCTGCCCCTTTGAAGGTATTTTAATCTATATTTTTATACATTCAGTATTCAATGCATGAAGCTGTTTTTGAAGATTTTGAATGAAACTTGAGTGCTACCTCGCTATTATGTAAAGGTGAATTAATCCTTATCCTGAAAGGACTAGTTGGGCCACAAACAAATTTGCAAGGAGATACTAAACATATTGGAAAGCAAGTTTTACTTAATTCCATGTGTGCACACAGGGCCACAGATTACAACTAAGTGGTCCAAGGCACAAGAGGTCAAATCCCTACCTGCCTCTATTCTTCCATTATTCAGGTTATTAAATATATTTGAAAGGAAATCCTTAATACAAATAAAAGCATAATAATTCAAATAAAAGCGTAATGCATCTAATAACTGTACTCAACAAATACAAGTGTAATGTATCTAATGACTGAATTCAACAAAACATGCTTTAATCAAATTTTCACATATCAAAAGGCTACTTAATGCTACAGCATTTAGCCAGAACAGTTACAAAAGAATATTAAACTTACCCTGATAGTGCCACCTACAACTTCCATTACTTTGCCTCGATACCACATTGTATCTGATCCTCTCACTGCACAGGGTTCTCCCTTTTTCCAGAAATAAGGTTCCAAAAGACCAAGGTATTTTAAATTACTTTGAATTTCATTCATCATTTTTACCAGCTCAAATTCTGAAGAAATTATTAAAAATAGAAAGCATTTAGGAAAAATTTCCTACACTGTTCAAAAAAAAGTCATCAAGAATCTTTTAATAACTTCATAACTTAGGTAATATAAGGAATTGAAAATCAGGCTCATAATAAAACTTTCATAAAATCTAACTTGGTCAGTATCTTCTATATGTTTTAAAATGTACTAAGACCATATAAATAATTATTCTGATTTTTTTATAATATTTTGAGAGTACAAACATCATAAAGAGCTCTAAACCCATGTCAGGTAGGCTAATATAAAAGAACTATCAACTGAAGATGACATTTTGACAGCACAGCTAATAAAACATAACACAAGTTACTTAGATACAATATAATAGTGAAAATTCTAATTTTATTTTTCCTACAGATTGGCCCACTATTTCCACAGTGACTATATATATCCTTATAAGTGGTACCATAGAAGGCAAGGGCTGGAATCAGGTTCTATCCCAGTTCTATATTTTTAATTGTGTGATCTTGAGTAGTTCCTTTACCTCTCCATACACCTCAGTTTATTCTCTGTAAACTAACTATGATAGCACCTACCTACATTATCAGCACTGCAGCAGGACCAGATGTAAAGCATCTAGTAATAGTCAACCAATTTTAGCAATGACTAACATGTCAAGCAAAGCTTCTGGATTAAGTACTATTTTTACTACAGGTCTCAAACACTGTTCATTTATTTTAGAACAGCCAGTTGCACAGATTTATTCTATTTTCCAGTTAAAAATAGTATTTATAAAGATCAACAAATGAGAGGAAAATGTCAATAAATTCATAGCTACCACACCCTATTGGCAGGTGGGCCCACGAGTTGAATTAATGGTGTCTAAGCCTGTTGAGTGCTAGAGTCTTAAGAGTTACAGAATATTCCAGATGAGCCCACGTTGTAATTAAGAAGCATTTGCTTTTAAACTAAGAAGATTTCAGAAAGGACCTCAATTTTCAGTTATTTCTTATGGTTTCTTTTCTTATTTCAAATAAATACAAACTTTAGTATTCTTTTTTCATAGAATCTCCAAACTTATATAAATGTCAGGTCTTTTTAAACTTGGAATCATCCTCACTTGGTTAAGTCCCAATATGGGAAAATAAAGGAGATGTAGTAGGCTACATCACTTTATGCTGATTTTTATCTACCAGAAACCTTTAGAAGCTATCTGGCCTTGCTCTTCTTCCATGCTGGGACAGTACTTTGGATGTTCAGAAAATCACTCAAGTTTCTAAGTCTTAAATTCTGCCAATTACTAGTACCACTGCTGACCTGTGGTTTATCATTGTGGTTCATGTGTGAGAAATCCAAGAATGCTCAGAGGTGAACTAATTAGATTATGAGAGATGTAACCTAATCAGCAGATCAATCCACTGATATGGATTAACTGTGCGGTAATTGTAGGTACGTAGGGTTGGATGGAGAAGTAGGTCACTGTGGGCATTCCTTGAGGTTTATATTTTGTCCCTGGTGAATGAAGCTTTCTCGGTGCTCCTGATTGCCAGGTCCTGAGCTACTTTCTTCTGTACCCTTCCACTTATGATGCTCTGCCTCACACCTTAAAGGCCCATACTATGGAGGGTGGCTGATTATGAACTGACCTTCTGAAACTATGAGCCAAAATAAACTTTGTTTACACTGTTCATCTCAGGTCTTTTGGTCACAGAAATGCAAAGTTGACTAAAACATTTACAGATGCACAAAAATTTTGGCACCATGGAAGGAGGGAAAATTCAGTGACAGTCCTGATATACCATGATTCTAAAAACCCACTGGTCTTCTGTCAAATATTTAATCACATCCTAACTCCTTTATTGTTATTAAATTTCATTATTCCTATTCTCATAACCAGGCTGGACTTCTTTGTGTATAAATGCCTATATTTGTGAGGTATTAATTTTTTCTTTTGGTACCAGGGAGGGGTGCTTAATCACTGAGCCATATCCCCAGCCCGTTTTTATATTTTACTTGGAGACAGGGTCTTGCTGAGTTGTTTTGGGCTTCACGAAGTTGCTGAGGCTGGCTATGAACTTGTGATCCTCTTGCCTCAGCCTCTCAAGCTTTTGGGGTGACAGGCATGCTCCACCATGCCCAGCTGAGGCTCACCTCAGTAACTTAGTGAGACCCTGTCTTAAAAAAAAAAAAATAAAAAGGGATAGGGATGTAAAAAGGGCAGTGGTAAAATGCTCCTGGGATTCAATCCCCAGTACAAAAAAAATGGGGGTATCTACTTATAGTCATTGTTAATATGTTCAGCACACTGTCCCTAACACTAAGCTTGGGAGAAATCCTTTGGGATCCCATCTTTATATGAGAGCTTCCTGTTAGATTTCCCACTTTCAGTGAAGGGGCTTTGTTCTTTACTTCCTTTTTCTTGAACTCTGTGTAGTTATCAGATGAGAAGTTCAAGGTTTTACATCTTGAACACCTTCGTTGGCACATCGTTATCTTCTCAAATTCTGATTTTAGAGCTTGATGTATTTTTTATTTTCGTATCAACACAGTAAATGTCAATTTAAAAAGAATTATACATGCATTTTAATGTATTTGGAAGCGTTGTGCAATCTGCCTTAATGGAAATTCTAAATTACTTTTTTATACTGAGAATAGCCCTAATTATAACACATGACATTGCTACTTTAAAATAATAATTAAAAAACTCAAATAAGTTTTTATGTGCTAGGCATAAAAAGCACTTTGCCATATTTTCTATGAAATAATTTAATCCTCCTAACAGCCCTATAAAAAGAGGTTAATTACTTGACCATGTATTCTGGTTGTCACTATCTCACTGGAGAACTTGAGCTGCTAGGACCACTGTTACTGATGAATCCTTTATAACATAAAAGAGCTTACCTGATAATTTAGGTATTATGAATATAGTTCCATCATCACCAATGCAGCTGACTACTGCCTCAAATACTTTCATATTAGGAATAACTGGTGGTTTATAGCACCCAATGGCTCTTGGCTCTGAAATCTGCTCCTTAAATTCAGATACCTTGTGTTCACTGATTGAATCAGTAGCTTTTTTCTCAGAGTCAAAGTTAATTTTAATACACTTAGTGGTAACTATTAAATCTTCTTGTCCCAGGGGGATCTGCAGAGACTTCTCAGATGAATGGCTGTTATTTGATTTATTAATTCTGTAACATCCAAAAAAGAACATATCTAAACAGGAGCAAGTATAAAAATCTGGGGAAAACAATATAAAAATAATCTTTCAAATATATTTAACATTTAAAGAAAATATTTGCTCTTGTCTAGGGTATACTAGTCTAATTTGTTACATGGAAATGAGCATTATTTAAGTTACAGTGAAAATTATTTTAAGTTATAAATGAGGAAAAAAGCAGTATAATTTCACTTTAATGTTTTAAAGTACTATCTGATATTTACACACTATTCTTTCATAAAATCTCCTAAGAAGTATATCCTCAGTATTGTACAATGGAGCTAAATGGTGGATTGGGAGTTCAAAGCCAACCTCAGCAAAGAAACAAGGTGCTAAATAAGCATCTCAGTGAGACCCTGTCTCGAAATAAAATACAAAATAGGGTTGGGGATGTGGCTCAGTGGTTGAGTGCCCCTAAATTCAATCCCCAGTACCCAATCAATCAATCAATCAATCCATAATACCTCCAAGTTGATTCTAGTTTAGTCCATAGTAGAACACACATAAAATAATATAAATACAGATCTCTTAAAACAATGACTCAGATACTAGGTATTGGTAACAATATGCTATTTTCAATTTTGTTTACTTCATGACATCTCTTCCATTTAAAGGAAAAGCATGCTATCATACAAAAAACTAAAATCACGGAAGCAGTATTAACATTGGTTGTGTTTTAGTAGAATTGCAGTCAAAATTTTGTTCCTTCCAGTTTCCTGTACTTTTCCTTTAACAGTATTCATAAAGTTATTACTTAATGCCTTCAACTAACTTCTCCCTCTCATTGTCTTAAGATAGCTAGTAGTTTCATTGCTGCTACAGCAGTAAAAAATAATCAAACAACAACAATTAAAAAAAAACCTCAAAATTGGTGACAGACAATGCTGATAGTATTAACTTGTCTAGAAGTTTTCATTTCAATTCATTTCTTTTGCCAAGGAGTTACTTAAAGTATATGAACGAACCCCCAAGAGAAGCACATTAAAGATATAGAGCCTGAGCCTGATGCAGTGGCACGTGCCTATAATCCCAGAGGCTCGGGCGATTGAGATAGGAGGATTGTGAGTTCAAAGCCAGCCTCAGTAAAAGTGAGGCACTGAGCAACTCAGTGAGACCCTGTTTCCAAATAAAATACAAAATAGGGATGAGGATGTGGCTCAGTGGTTGAGTGTCCGTGAGTTCAATCCCTGGTACACCTTCCGCTCCCCCTCCAAAAAAATATGTGGAGTCTGTGCGCCAGGGTTCAGGCAACTTAGGTTGAATCTACTGCACCTGGCCAGCTACTGCAGGCCCCATTTTATTTTTGATTTTTTGTTTTCTCTTTCTATTTCATCAGGTAACCACATACATTTTGTGCCATGTATGGCACAAAAGTGGCTGCTTGAAACATATCTGCAATTTCGACCTACTTCCACAACTGGAAGGAAGATAAAGGAATAAGCTAGGGTTGCAGTAATATCCCAGTCCTTCTCCCTGCGACCCAAAGTTGCTTAAACCTCAAACTTAGACCCAAAAGGATCTTTAAAATGTCAATGTTGTTCAATTACTTTTTTGCTATTTGTTTCTATTTTACATAAATATATACTGTATATACCTACTACCACTTCTAACACAAAGCTAAAAGATTTCTGTCTAACCAACGCATGCCAAGGGGCTCAGTCAGATCTGGTACTTACTATATTTTTGTTCCCTTTTCCTTTGGTTTAGAATGTAAATATCAAAGAAAAAGAGAAAGTACAAAAGCCAGAACATATGCAAGCTGTTTGACCTGAATAGAGAAATAAATAATTCTGAAGAAATTGTTGTCTCCTCAGAGATTAATTTTTAAATTATCTTTAAGAGCAAATATGATACAATTTAGATTTCTATTTTTCTGAACTAGGGATTGAACCCAGGCCCTTGCACATGCTAGGCTAGTGCTCTACTACTGAGTTACATCCACAGCCCTGCAATTCATATTTGAAAGCACACCTATATAAAAACTTACACAGGTAAGTAAGAAGTATCTATCACAAACTGATATCAAAAATTTGAAAAAGTCTGTACCTTCTTTCTCTCAAAGCCAAACCTTTTTTAATCAGATATTTAGAAACATCGACACGCTCTCCTTTTTCATCTCTGCAGAAAATTTTCACAGGTAATGGCCATGTTGTGTTGCTTTCCTGTAGTGATTTAAGAGTACAGTAAATAAAAGACACAAAAGAAAAATATTTTGATAAATAGTGTACTTTTCTCAGGCATTTCTTCTATATTTCTCTAAGCAAGTCAAAGAAGTTTCCCAACTGAGTAAAGATATATTGATATCTAAATATATCGAGGAAAAATAACATGGGAAAGATCAATGGGGACAGATATTTGTTTTATGAAATATATGAGGAATATAAATTTTACTGCCAAGGTAAAATTTAACTAAAGAAACGAAAAAAAAAAGAGAAACAAAATGAAAAAAAAATTTTCCAACCCAAACGAGGGGGAAAGACACCACCACTTAATATGTTTTTATATTCCCCTAAACTCTTTGTCAATTATAGAATTAAAATATTATTTTCCAAGGTGTGCCTTTTTTCCTACAGAAAGCAAAATATCTACAAGCCATAAATTCTGTTTCATAAGGAAAAAGTTATAAAAATGAGGGAATTAGGAGCTCTGTAATTCCAGCAGTTTGGTAGGCTGAGGCAGTAGGATCACAGGTTCAAAGCCAGCCTCAGCAAAAGCAAGGTGCTAAGCAGCTCGGACTCTGTCTCTAAATAAAATACAAAATAGGGCTGGGGATAGGGCTCAGTGATCTGTCAATCCCTGGTACTCCACAAAAAATTATACACAGAAAAAGTTAACATGGAAAAAATGATAAAATTCTGATAATTAATGCAGCAAAACAGTTAAATTAGAAAAAAGTAGGGAATACAAAGAATATTTTTAAGTATTCTGAAAAAATAAGTGCTTATTCTCAATTCCATACGCAAAAATATATATTTTATGACTTACAGTGAATTTTGACTTATCTAGAAGCCCGATTTTCCACTTTAATAAAATATTAGAAGACTTCAGAAATATGCTCTAGCATAAACATGTTATATTTTATCATGCAAATTATCAACTTAATATTACTTTAGAAATATCTTGATTTATTTATATAATCATTTGTGTATATCTACTATCAAATAGGCATTGTACCTTGAAATAAGACAACAGAGTTCACTACAAAATCCAAAAAAGCATTTTCTCAAGAAAATTGATGAAAACATTAATGAAATGATTAATCAATATATATCCATTGTAACTGTTAACCTTACTACCCACCTGTAAAGTTATGGTTGCTATCGCTCCAGTGAGGTACAATGAAAGACAGTCACAAGCTGTTGCTGTCCACTTGTCACTCCCACCAGTTGGTCTAAAACAAAAATTAATGACAACTTGTTTTATAACAAATAGTATACAATATTGATATATACAAGAAATATTATACATAAGCACATAGTTTGAACCAACTGAATATGTAGTGAGAAATAAATTTGAACATGGATTCATGTTATCTTCACAATTCTTTTTTTTTTAAATGGGTCATTTTAATTTATTGTAGGATGATGCCTACTAGGTTATTGCACTTAAAACATTTATTGAAATGAATCTCTAATCATAACCTTGCAACATGATATTTCATAAATTTGTGCTATTTCATGTTACAGCAAATTAAATTTTAAGCTAGTACAATACTTTTTAAAGTATATTTAGCTCATATATAATCTTCTGCCTGTCCTTAGCTACTTTCTTTGCACTCTCTCTTGATTTCAGGGAACCTAGATATATTTGTATGATTCACTGAAGCTCCAATAATTTGTTCTTTGATTGAATACATCCATCACAGGAGATGCCCTTTCAAGATTGTATTGACTTGCAACTATCCATACTAAGCTTTGTTCTTCACAATTCTTTTCCCTATTTTCATAGCCTTTTGTTCATCCCTCTACTTAGAATCCATGCTACATGCTAACTTATTTATGTATACCTGGTTCTACAGTTTAACTGAAGATATCTAAAAGTTGATAACATTTTAAATATTCTTCATCATTAAATATTCAGGTGTGTGAACTAGATGAGACATCAGGGATGGTGTACTCTTCCATCATCATATTCCCTAACATCTAGCACAGTTTCTGGCACACAGAAAGTGCTCTGGAAATATTTAATAAAACAAAAACAAAAACATTCCTTTGCAATGATGATTATGCTGTCCACTTTGGGAAGTATTCTGTAATTCAGTTTGAATCACTACCCATAAATATGAGCCTCAACAGTTTATAAAATTTTACTTTTAATCACAGTTTTTAATTGTTGACATTGATTCAACAAAATTACTCAAATTGATATAGTCATGCAATTTTGAATGACTAGAAATATCATAATTTTGGACAAAAACTAAATGGCAAAATAATGTATACTAAAATATGCTCAATAAAGTTTTAGCAAATAAATGAAAAGCAGGGTATATAACATCATCATTAATTTAGTTTGCAGAATTAAAACTACCCCCAAGAATAAGGAAGAGATTATATGTAAATCAGGCAGGATCCTAAACATAGTTTCTAAATCCAGAATTTCAATGAACTGAACTTAGTTGATGAATTGAGTAAATAACATGGTCAGTTTTATCATGGTAAATGGTTTATAAAAGTGAACTCACCCGTCAACTGGACATGGGGCTTTATCAAATTGGAGTTGGTAAGTATGCCAACACTTAATTTATTAAGACCAACCAGTGTTATGAGCTAAGAAGCTTAAACTATTAGTAACTCCCAGAATTAGTTATGTTTTAATATTTACAATTGCACTGTCAGGAACAGTGGTGCATGCCTCTAAGCCTGCTGAATTGGTAGGCTTAGGCAGGAGGATCACGTTTGTGGCCAGCCTCAGCAATTTAGCAAGATCCTGTCTCAAAAAATATTAAGGGCTGGGGATGTCGATCAATGATAAAAGCACCCCTGGGTTCAATCAATCCCAAGTACTGCCCCTTGCTATTCATGGGGGGTTGATTCCAGGACTCCTGCAGAAACCAAAACCCTAGAGACCACAGCTCCACTTCTTTACGCCATCTTTTAACCTCTGGTTCTAGAAACCCTAATTAAAAATCAATTCTGTGTTTTGTAGTAAATCTGACAGTAATTCTATCTCAAGTGGCAGTGGCAAGATGAATAGTATGCACAAGCCCATTATGTCAAATGGTATATTATCTAACATACCCCCATATTTACTTTAAACATCTCAAGATGACTTAAAATAGCATGTATAATGTAAATGTTATGCAGCTGTTAGACTGTATTGTTTAGGGAATGAAAAGAAAAAAATCTGTACATGTTCTGTATAGATACTATTTTTTTATAACATTTCAATCTGAAGTTGTAGAACCTGCAGATATGCAGGGCCAACTCTATTATGATATATATATATATATATATATATATATATATATATATATATATATATATATATATATATATAAAATCAGTGTATTATTAAGATTTTCCTATTATTTTTTAATGTTAATTTTTTAGTTATAGGCAGACACAATACATTTATGTGGTGCTGAGGATCAAACCCAGTGCCTCACGAATGCTAGGCTCTACCTCTGAGCCACAACCCCAGCCCCTATTATTATTATTATTATTTTTAATGTATTTTTTAGTTGTAGATGGACACAATACCTTTATTTATTTATTAATTTTTATGTGCTGAGGATCGAGCCCAGTGCCTCACATGTGCGAGGCAAGCACCCTACCACTGAGCCATAACCCCAGCCCACAACACCTTTATTTTTATGTGGTGCTAGGGATTGAAACCAGTGTCTCACAAGTACTCTACCACCGAGCCACAACCCAGCTCTATTATTTATTATTGATACACATAAATATTAGCTTTTGAACATCTGAAGGTATTTACTATAATACTTAAAAAAATTAGGGATGTGGAATTTCATTTGGGGAAGACAAAAATTTTCAGGAGATGGATGGTGATAAAAGTTATATAGCAATGTGAATTTTAAGATCAGAAAACTGTACACTTAAAAATGGTAAAAAGGGCAAATTTTATGTGATGCCATTTTATTACAGTTAAAAAAAACTACAGAAAAAATATTTCTTGGAATAGCAGCAAAACATAGTGGGGCCAGAGTTTTAGTTCTAAATTCAGATCCTGTTTATAATTCTAGCTCAACAATTGAATTGATGTTTTAATTGGATAATAAAATATTTAACCTCTTGAAGATTCAATTTCCTTATCTTTAACACCTTATCTATAGTTTAAGGTATGTTGTGAACATTAAGATTAGGGTTAACAATCATTAGAATTCTCAATGATAACATTATTCTATCCAAGTCCATAAGATATTATTAAAAGGTATGTCAGGAACTGTCTATAAGATTAGGTACAATCAGGAAATTGCTAGAATTCTGTTCAATAATATTCTAATTGAACCTAATATAAGGGAGAAGTGAAAACTAGTAATAGGATTTATATACTATGTAGTCTCGAGTTTTCCAATCCAGGATATTGAAAAAACTTGTAGATATATAATTGTATAGCCACTACCAGTAAATACATAAAATAGAAGTGCTCATAAGATTGAAGAAATACTCTGTTCAAACAGGTGGACTATAGAAACTACTACTAATAAACTCTTCAAGAACATTAAACATGATGGTCCATGAGTAATCAGAACAGAAAGGGTCACTAGGATACCCTATTCTAATCTCAATTTTAAATATCAGGTTTTAAAACATATTAAACCAATTTAGACTTATAGATTAACTTTGGACAAGTAATTTAATTTCTTGGTGTCAGTTGCTTCAATTATAATATAGGAATAATAATAGTTCCCATGTCAGTTTTGTGAGAACTAAATGAAACAGTATGTATAAAGCACATTATAAATGTAGACAATGCTGATGTATAGTAACTATACTTCACATATATCTATAATATATCTATATATGTATGTATGTATGTATGTATGTATCTATCTAATATCCGAGGTTTTTGCATGAGATCCTTGTGGGTAAGATCATAGGCAAGGGAAACCAATATAATTTATTCATTAAAAAAAATCAGATGGGTACAGTGGACATGCCTATGATCCCAGTGACTTGGGAGGCTGAGGCAGGAGGACTGCAAGTTCAAGGCCAGCCTCAGCAACTTAGTGAGACTCTAAGCAACATAGTGAAACCTTGTTTCAAAATAAAAAATAAAAAAAAATAAATATCACAGAGTTCATTGAAGTTTTTATAGTAATGCTAAAAGGATCTTTATTTTTTTTAGTTTTGTGAACAAATTTTTATTATTCCTATTTATATCAATGTCTGTAAAACCTATACACATATATGTGCTTATATGTATATATACATCTTTTAGCCAAATAGTAAGCAAGTGGCTTCAAATTAGGGAGTAAATTCAATACAGTACAAAATTATAAGCTGTCTTAAGTACTTTTTTTGAGTAGCACAAAAAAAATCACAGGAATTGATGTTAGTAGGTTTCATTAATGATGGAGCTGCTACTCATATGTAAAATGATATCCAGTATTCTAAAGTGAATAGGAGCTAAGATTTATTTAATACAGGTTGTAGACTATTTTGAACTTCCAGAGGGAAGGCCAATTGTTTTTGGCAGCACTATTTCTTCAGTGATTAGTTACTGTGATTTTTTCCAAAAGTCAGAAATTCAAGTTTTAATGTGACATCTATGGTTTAAAAAAAGTAAATATTTCAAAATTTAAAAACTATGCTATCAGCCAAATATATGGTTGGATTTAGCCTACACACAGTGGACTATAACCTATGACACAGAAGTATGCTTTCAAATTTACAAATACAAATTTTTACATTATTAGAGTACTACCTAGGTGTTGAATAATATCAGTATTTGAATTTCAAAACCAATTAGATGAAACATGACAAGAAGAACTATAAATTCTATATTTAGATAAAAAAATTAATTACCTGTGTACATAAAATAGGTTCAAATGAAAAATAGCAAACGCCACTGAGTGGAAGCCCTTCTAAGTAAAAATGCTTAGGAAGGACACTGGGCTTACATTGTTCCTCCAGTTCAGGGCTGGAGCTTTGGCTGCAAATGCTAATCTGTTTCACCTGGCAATACCTTCTTCTCTGGGGGTACATGAGGCAAGATAATTCTAGTACAGTCAACAAGTGGACTGATATGCTTGGGCTCTTTTAAAGAATTTAGGGCTGGGGATGTGGCTCAAGCGGTAGCATGCTTGCCTGGCATGCGTGCGGCCCAGGTTCGATCCTCAGCACCACATACAAACAAAGATGTTGTGTCCACCGAAAACTGAAAAATAAATATTAAAATTCTCTCCCTCTCTCTAAAAAAAAAAAAAAGAATTATCCTTTAGTAAACTGAAAATTCAATGGTATTAAGAGCTGAGATCACTATATTTTTAACTTTTATAATGTGCAGAAGCTTAATGGGAGTTCAATGTGAGATGTTGTCCCTTTGCTCCGTGATTCAATCTGGAACTTTTCTTTCCTTTGCTGCTGTCTTGCTCAAATTAAACTCTATGCCCAGCAGCTTCTCCTCAGTGTATGGTATGGAAAGAAATGTCAGTTTACTCTGAAGAGTTATACAGTTAAAAAAGGGAACTATGACACATCATAGACTTCTTGATTTTAGTTATAAATTCCACTCTGTATTACTTCCCTTCTCAGATTAGCTTGCATGCTCCCATTAAATACTCTTGCAGATTTCTATTCTCAGAACCTTCAGAATCCCAGTCTGCCTTTCCTCTATCTCCTCCCAAACAAACTGATTACTGAGGGTCTTGGTGCATAGAATTTCCCACCTGCTGATATTTGGGAGGTCATAGGAGTCATTTGTCACCAACTTTTTTTTTTTTTTTCAGATAATCAGTATGCACAGTATTTAGTTTTACTATCCAAGCTGCACTACTTGTACTGTAGGATTCTAGATTTAAAAATTATACTATGACATTTTTCCAGAATCTTCTATAATCTACTTTTTTGGTAATATATTTTTAGCTTTCCTTGCAATTCTAAATTTACAAAGTATATTTATTTCTATTTGCTTTTGTTGTTCCTCAAAGCAGTTTGATTTCTACCTAGATACCATTCATACTCACCTATAATATATTTCCTTAATGTCACTAAATTTATGTGCTCCAAATAGTTATCTTTCCTCCTGTTGACACCTGAGTTAGCTAGATTTTATAAAAATTTCAGGACATGTTAACTAATTTAATACTGATAAGAACCCATTCAAAAAAGAGAAATATTTATTTATTTATTTTTGTGGTGCTGGGGATTGGTCCCAGGGCCTTATGCATGCAAGACAAGCACCCTACCAACTGAGGGGAAATATTTAAAATGGTAACATTCAATGGATAAAATGAATTTATTCAGCTAAAAACTACCTTATATCGACAAGAGAGCATTCCAAAGATAATCTTCCCATTGTCTTTAGATTTTCTTGAAGTTCTCTTAAACAGTTAATATTCACTACTAGTTCAACACCCACGTCATACAGCAATACCTATGAAAACAGCAATTTTAATATGGAAAGACAACATTTCAAAAACATTTTTGCAAATATTGAAAGCATAACAAAAACTGGATTAAATAACTGCAGTAAAAGTCCAAAAACGCATTCATTTTCACAATTTATTTATAATTGCATTTACCTCTACTAGTGTGTCTGTGATCATCCTGATGATCTGGCCTCTTCGCCACTGATTTTTATCTGGGACCTTAACAGCACAGTGCATATCATTTTCCCATTTAATAGGTTCCCATTCTTTGTTTTCATAAGCAGTTATCATCTTTTCTTCTAAACTATATAAGAATTAAAAATGTTTGACTTTCAAAAGTTAAAAACATTTTTTTTTTTCTCTGACAACATGTTTTCTACTGTCCCCCTTGGTCATTCCACTTCAGCCAAACTGTTCTTCCCTAAATATACCAAGCATATTTCCACCTCAGGCCACGTAACTAGCGCTTCCCTTTGCCTGAGATAAACTTTCCTTAGATTCTTAGGGGGTTATTCCCTCCTACCTCTTTCAAGGCCCATTACAAAAGTGAATTTCATGCATCTTTGAGGTTTTCCTTTAAAAAATTACCTTGCTCCCCAAATGCTTTATTTTCTCTATCACCTGTAACATACTTGCAATACTAAGTTTTATTTGTTCATCATCTCTCCCTCTGTTATAATTTAAGCTCCATGACAGCAAAGACCTATATTCTTTACCACTGTTATCCCCAACATCTATATGCACACTGCCATGAGTAGGTGCTCAATAATTTGTGGGTTAAATAAATCCTAATATAGTAAAAATAATTAACAAATATACTATTAAAATTTTTAGTTTAGTTTAGTTCAAATAATTTTGCTATTTTAATGAAACCATGTCATTTGCAGAAAAATGGACAGAACTAGAGACCATTATGTTAAGTGAAATAAGTCAAACTCAGAAGATCAATGGTCAATTATTTCCTCTTATATGTGGAAGCTAGAGAAGAAAAAGAAAAAGGAGGTGGTGGGGATGATCTCATTAAAATCAAAGGGAGCTCAATAGAGGAAAGGGACCAAGGGGTGTAGATTGGCAAGTACTGGAAAATGATACCAAACAAATTATACTGTTATACTGTGTGCATGTACAAACATGTAACAACAAATTCCATCATTAATACAACTGTAGTGCACCAATAAAAATGTGGAAAAAATTAAAATTAAGTAGATAAAACTTCTGTTATCTTTGAAACAGTATAGGAAGAATGTTTTCCATATAATAGTATACCTATTAAGTAAGTTTTCTGTTAACAACCACTGAACATAAATCTTCTCAGGAGATATTACATTACAGATATGCACAGGCAATTCCTTATTATAAAGTGACTGGAAATTCTCATTAGGTAGAGATTTTACAGACATAGGACTTAAGTTGTTTACTTCATTTGAAATAATTTCTTCTGGAGAAGGATCCCATACTTCTATATGCTTTTTAGAATTATCTTTGAGGGTATATCTGAAAAATAACAAATGTCAGCAAAAAGAATATAGCAAAATATGAATGTTTGCATTTGCTTAGGCTTAGAGATGAATAAGTTTTAGCAACTTCCAGTTTTGATATTAATAATAACTAAATTTAGTAATTTAAAAAATGTTCTGAACCAACACTAATGTAAGTACAATAAGAAAACAAAAACTAAAAATTAAATTTTCTATTTTTAAACACACAGTTATAAATAACAACTTTGCTTATAAGTTCAATGCTTGGCACTGATATTCTGCACTCCAAAGGAACAGAAGAATTCATACTTTGACAACTTGAATATTTATCTTTGACTAAAATATATCAATCCATTTACCACGAAGAATACAAGTTGGAAAATAATTACTATTATCAAAGTACTAAGAAGCAAAATCAGTGAATGAAGAGATTTTGAAGTAATGTTTAAAAGATTAGACTAACTGTAGATGACTAGATGTTGTTTTTACCTGAATAAACATTGAATTTTTTTCACCATAAGCTTACACTCACCAAGGTTACTAACAATGTTTGTTGTTAAATCCAATGGATAGTTTTTAGTTCTTTCTTGAACTCTCAGCACTAGCTACTCTTTCCCTTCTTTAAATATTATTTTCTTTTGGTTCCTTGTTGTACTTCAGCTTCAAGCTCTTTTGGACCTCTCTTTCTTTCCCATAAAGTGATTATTTACATGCTGCACTCCTCCACTTAAATTACATAACCAGGTTTGTCTTCTGAACTCCAGATTGACAGATTTATTTCCTCCATTCAGCTAATATTTATTGAATATGTACTGTGAGCCAGCAAGCATAGTGCTAGGTATGGCAGTGAAGAAAATAGATAGGGTTCTTATCCTCAGAAGATTATAGTTGTCATGCCTTATCCTAGGTGGAAATGTTTCAAGCCCCCAATGGATGGTATCAAGCCAAATATATACTGAATTATAATTTATGAATTTAAATAACAAAATAGAATTTTAACAATATAATATAATACATTTATTTAAAACATATTATTTCTCAAAGTTTCTGTTTAATACTTTCAGACTGCAGTTAACCACAGGTTAACAAACCATGGAAAGCAAAACCATGGATGGGGGGACTACTGTATGGTGTTACTAAAAAATTAAGTGAATAAGAAATTTTATATAATACAAACAAGAGTTACAAAGGAAAAGAACAAGAACACGGGCCAACAAAATCTAATGTAGTGTAAGAGTTGGGGCCGATTATCTGATATATCAGTTGAGACTTAAAATAAGTAGGAGTTAGCTAGGTATTCCAGGAACTGAAAGAAAACATGTAGTTTTGATATAGTAAGTAAAAAAAATGGTGTGGGATTTGTAGTAGGCAGGGGTCAGACTATTTAGGGAACATTACTTTTATTTTATAAAGGATAGTGGGCATGATATGGTTAAGTGTAGGGAGGCTAAGGCAGGAGTATTGCCAAATTCAAGGCCAACTTCAGCAATTTACAAGACTCTCAATTAAAAAACAAAAAGGACCAGGGATGTAGCTCCATGGCTGAGCACCCCTAAATTCAATTGAAAGGAAGAAATAGTAGTAGGTTGTGGAAATTCTTTTTCTTTTCTTCTCAGTCCTCAGGCTATCAGGAAAGTCACTCATCAAGGGAAACTCTTGTTTTGATTTGAGCATGGGCAATAGACACAGTAAAAACAGTAGGTCAGATAACAGAAATCTGGGTTTGTGAGGGCACCGGGATTCTTTGGGGTTGCTGGAGCACCAGAGGTAGATTTACTCAAATGGAATTTAAGCTTCTGGACCATGAGTGCCCTGGGACGGGCCAAAGCAATGTTTTTTTTTTTTGAAAAATTTCCCAAAGAATAAAAATTTAATTATTTTTCCAATTTTTAAAACTGTTCTAAATGCGTAAAATCTAAAATTTACTATCATAACCATTTTAAATGTACATTTCAGGTCATTAAGTAGGTGTATTGTTTTGCATCCATCACCACCATCTCTCTTTTTACCTTGCAAAGCTGAAACTCCTCTATTTATACTCACTAAACACTAACTCACTTCCCATTTCTTCCTACCTCCACAGTCACTGGCAACCACCATTATTTCTGTCTTAGACTTAAACTACTATAATCATTCCTTATAAATGGCAACATGTAGTATTTGTCTTTTATGTGATGGCTTATTTTAATATAACGAAGGTTCATCCATTATGGTACCGTATATCAGAATTTTTTTTCTTTTTTGTGGTAATAGGATTGAACCTTGGGAGCTTTACCACTGAGCTATATCCCCAATCTGTTTTAATTTTTATTTTGAGACATGGTCTTGCTACATTGCTGAGGCTGGCCTCAAACTTGTGATCCTCCTGCCTTAGCCTCCTGAGTTGTTGGGATTCACCTGGTTCTTTTTTTTTATTTATTTAGTTGTAAATACATATAGTATCTTATTTATTTATTTTTATGTGGTGCTGAGGATCAAACCCAATGCCTCACACATGTCAGGCAAATGCTCTACCACTGAGCTACAGCCCCAGCTCCTGGCTCTTTTTAATTGCTGAATAATATTCTATTTTATTACAAAGTACATTTTGCTTATCTATTCATTTACAAGGACATCTGGGTCACTTCCATGTTTTATCTAATGAAAATAGTGTGATTATAAAAATGAATGTACAAATATCTCTTTGAAACTCTGATTTCAATTCTTTTGAGTATATACCCAGAAGTAGATATGCTGGATCAAATGGAAATTCTATTTTTAATTTTTTGAGGAACTGCCATACTGTTTTCCATAGTGGCTATACCTTTTTACATCATCACCAACAGATACAATTTCTCTACATCCTTAACATTTTTTTCCTAGTAGCCATTCTAATGGATATGAAGTAGTATTTTACAATAGTTTTAATACGCATTTCTCTAATAGTGATGTTGAATATTTTTTCATGTGCTTATTGGCCTATTGTATATCTTCTTTAGATAATGTCTATTCAACTCCTTTGCCCCTTTTTGTATTGAATGTTCTGTTATTTGAGATTCAGTAGTCTTCTACATATTCTAGATATTAATACTTTAACAATATATGCTTTGAAAATGTTTTCTCTTATTCTGTGGGTTGCCTTTATATTCTGTAGAGAATACCTTCAGATGTACACAAGTTTTACATTTTCATGAAGTTTAGTTTGTGTTTTTTAAACTGCCTATGCACTTGATTTTCTTTTTTTTAAATTTATGTACTAGGGACTGAACTCAGGGACACTTTCCCACTGAGTTATGTCCCTGATCCTATTAATTTGTGTACTTCTTTGTATTTAAAATTTTTGTTATATATGACAGCAGAATGCATTACAAATTACTACTTTTTATTTTTTTAAATAGGGCTTTGAAAGTTGCTTAGGGCCTTGCTAAATTGCTAAGGCTGGTCTTGAACATGGTGAGTTCCCTGCCTCAGTCTCCCAGGTTGCTGGGATTACAGGTATGTGCCACTCTGCCTGGTTGGGCACTTGATATCAACAAAATCACTGCCAAATCCAGTGTATGAAGCTTTTAGTCCAACATTATCTTTTATTGTTTTAGGTCTTACATTGAGGCCACAGATCCATTTTTAGTTAGTTTTTGTATGTGGTGTTAGGTGAGGGTTCAACTTCATTCTTTCGAATATGAATGTGCATGTTTCCCCCAGCACCTTTTGTTAAAAATTGTTCTTCCCTTACTAAATGATCCTGACACTTTGGTTAAAGATCAACTTACCTATATGACAGTGTTTGTTTCTAGATTCTAGATTCTACTCTGTTGTCTGTATGTCTATCATTCTGTTGGTTTGACATTGTTTTGATTATAGTAGTTTATAGTAAGTTTTGAAATCACAATGTGTAAAATACTCCATGTTATCCTATTTCGGGATTGTTGTGGCTACTCAGGACCCCTGGAAATTTCATATGAATTTTAGAATGGGTTTTTCTATTTCTGTAAAAAATGTCATTGGGATTCTGATGGGGAACAACACTAATCTTCTGATTACTTAGGTGGGAATGACATCTTAACAATATCAAGTCTTCTAATCTATAAATATAGAATGTCTTTCCATTCATTTGTCTACTTTAATGTCTTTCAAAAATGTTTTCTAGTTTTCACTGTATAAATCTTTCACTTTCTTAATTCTTAAAGTACTTCATTCTTATAGGTGCTATTGTATAAATATAAATGTTTTCTTAATTTTCCTTTTAGATTGCTTACTGTCAGGATGTAAAAATTAAACTAATTTTGTGACTTTGTATCCTCCTATTTTGATCAATTCACTTATTAATTCTAATAGTTTGTAAGGTCTCTTAGGTTTTCTAATATAAGCTCATACCATCTGCATCTCTTCCTTTCCACATTGGATGCCACATTTTTTCTTGGCTAACTTTTTGATTATTCATAATCTACGTTCATAAGGGATACTGGCCTGTAATTTTCTTTTCTTGTTCTCTTCTTTTCCAGCTCTGGTGTCAGGATAATGCTGGCTTCACGATTTTGGAAGTGTTCCCTTTAATTTTTTTTTAGGAGAATTTGAGAAGGACTGGCATTAATTCTTCTTTAAATATTCGGTAGAATTCAGTAATGAAGCCAAAATATTCTGGGCTTTCATTTGATGGGAGACTTTTTTTAAAAAGCTAATCCGATCTCTTCATTATTGAACTCTTTGGACTCTTTCCTCATGATTCAAACTTGGAAGGTTATATGTTTTAGGAATTTATCTACTTCTAGATTATCCAATTTGTTGGCATAGTAAGTATAACATATAAGTTGCTTTATGATCCTTTGTATTTCTGTGATACAGTTATAATGTTCTTTCCTTTATTGAGTTTTCTTTTTGGTGAGTCTGTTTAGTCTGGATAAAAATTTGTTCATTTTGCTTGTATTTTAAAAAAAAATCACTTCTTAGTTTCACTGCTGTTTTAGTCAGCTTTCTATCACTATATGGGAATGTCTGAGAACAAATTAACTTACAAAGAGTAAAGATTTATTTTGGCTCACTCTCTTGAATGTTTCAGTAGTACCTGACTGGTCACAGTGCTTTGGGCCTGTGGCAAAGCAGTACATGATGGCAGGAGTATATGATAGAATAAAACCATTCATTTCATAGTCAAGAAGCAAAAAAGAGATAGGAAGGGGTTAGAGTCTCATAATCCTCTTCAAGGGCATACCCCAATGACCTTTTAACTTCCCACAAGGCACCACCTTCTAAATTTCCACAGCATCTCTCAACAGTGCCACCTTGGGGACCGAAACCTTTAACAAATTGGACTTTTAGAGACATTAAACATCCTAATAATAGCAACTGCTTTTTTTCTACTGTTTTTCTAGTCTCTTTTCATTTATTTCTGCTCTAATTGTTATTATTTCTGCTGATTTGGGGCTTAGTTTGTTCTTTTTCAGGTTCACTGAGGTGAACAGTTAAGTTGTTCTGAGATTTTCCGAAACTTCCCTCTTAGAACTGTTTTTGCTTTGTTTTATAAGTTTTAGTATGTTGTGTTTCCATTTTCATTTGTCTCAGGATATTTTTTTAATTTCCTTTTTGATTTCTACTTTGACCCACTAGTGTGCAGGAGTGTGTTTGTACTCACAGAAAGCATTTAAGAACAATTCCCCTACCATTTTTCATTAGGAAGTTATTACCAATCTTTAATAACTTCATAACTTAAATAATATAAAGAATTAAAAACAAGTCCCTTGATAATAGGACTTCCATAAAAATCTAATTCAATCAATAGCTTTTATGTGTTTCAAACTATATGACTAACAGCATGTAACAATTATTCTGATTTTTTATATATATTTTCTGAGCATAAACATCATAAACCATCATTTGGCTGGTGTTACAAAGTTAAAACTACACTTATCTTACAACCAGCAGTCCAAAAGAAAATAATACATATGTTGACACAAAGACCTGTGCCCAAATGTTTATAGTAGCTTCATTTGTGGAACTGCCCCAAACTAGAAATAATCTAAAAGCTCATTAGTTGGTAAATGAATAAATCTGGTGCATCTGTATAATGGAATACTAGTTAGCAATAAAAAGAAACAAACTACTGGTATATGCAATATATATATGCATATGCAACAGCATGGAAGAATCTCAAAAATGTTATGCTAAATGAAAGAAGCCAGACACAAAAGGCAATATACTATATTATTCTGTTTAATGAAGTTGCGGAAAGTCAGAATTATAGAGACAGAAATTAGGTGGTTGCTAAAGGTTACTATAGAGGAAGGGGACTGACTACAGGGGGCATAAGGGAACATGTGACATTCTGTGTCTTTAATTCTTTCTTTTTTGGTCCTGGGGATTAAACCCAGGGTGCTTCAACTACATCCCTAGCACTTTCTATATTTTGGGGATAGGATCTCACTAAGTTGCTTAGGGCCTTATTATGTTGCCAAGGTTAGTCTCAAATTGACAATCCTCCTACTTCAGACTCCCAAGTCACTGGGATTACAGGCATGCACCACTGCACCCAGTGACATTCTGTATCTTGACTGGGATAACATTTATATGACTCTATATGTTGGTCAAAATTATTTAACTGCGTACCTAACAGTGACATTTTACTACATACCTTTACTACTATGCCTTAATAATTCTGACTTCAAAAAGAAAAAAAACTTAGTTCAATACAGTTTAAACGTTTACTCTCCTTTCTTTTCCTCCTTCACTTGCAATTAGATTGCTAAAAGGACAGGCCTTTCTTCTTCTGCTTCTAGTTCCTCCAGCGTTAAGGTAGGTAGGGAGAGCAAGACCACAGATCATAATACTAACAGGAGTCATAGCAGGTCTCTGTTAGGTGTCCTTGTTATGCCAATAGAAATTATGTGTGGGTGATATCAAAATATTGGGTTTCTTAAGGGCTACATATGGAAATTCTTTAGAAGACTCTGCAGAGTCCATTCCTTTTGCAAAAGTTTCTGTTGTGGAAGAATTCTTGGTCTTGACTGCCAAACCTTTATATTCAACCTTACCAGTACTCTGTTCTTCTGCTTCTTGAGTCACCTATACCACTGGTTAGTCTTTGATGGTTATGAACAAAATGGTTTAAGCTTAGTTACTTTAAACCTAAACCTAGGAAAATTCACGTTTCTCCAAATGGGAATACCACAATGCTTTTTCTCTATTTTGCCGTATCTTTTCCCAATTCCCTTTCTAAAATAGGTAAAGGGGGCTGCCTAAGCAGACATTCCATTTAGAAATAAAATGCCAGTCTCTTTTTCTAAGAAACAACTTTGATCTTGAGAAGCTTTTCTTTGGGGTTTAAAGTTCCTTAGGAATGAGGGTAAAAAGTCATTCTACTTCCTTAGACTAACAACTCACTTATTTTCCCACTATTTTTTTCTGATGTAGGAACAGGAAATTCCAGTTTCCCTTCTTGTGTTTGAAATTTTACATATAAACTAACAGTAAAAGTTTACCTGTGTACTTACCCTACTTCATAAGATGCTAAGCCTTCTTTCACAAGCTGGTCATTAATACTAGTAGGAGTCATTCCAGGAGCAGCAAAAGAATCAAAAAGCTCAACTAAGAGCACATTATCTTCTAAAATTTCTGTAAAAACACAAAAACTAGTTTGGGGAAAGAAAGAAATATATTGCAAAATAGACTAAATGAGAATTTTTTTAACTGGAAACAATTTCTTTCTTTTTTTGGCATACATGAGATTTCTTGCTGAATATGTCACAGCCTCTGTCTAGAAATTATAGTAGTATTTTGCAGTCATAATGAATTGTCAATGTTACCTGGAGCATATATAAATTAGTAAAAATTCTATTTTAGGTTATTGTATGCCACTGATTCTATAACAAAACCAAATAAGCTTAACCCTTTTGGATTCCGAATAACACAAATTAATATTTACTCAACAGAAATATTCAGTATATTTATACTGTTTTGTGTAATTCAATCAAGTTCCAAAAGCACACAAGTGAATGAAATTTAACTCAGGCCAGTGAGTCATTATTTGTGAAGGTTTACAGCTTTTTTTTCTTTCTTTGTTTTGAGTCTTATTGTGTTGACCAGGTGATCTTCCTGCCTCAGCTTCTTGATAAATACCTGGAATTATAGGCCTGCACTACCACACCTAAGGTTTATAGCTTTTATAAGTATGGTACAAAGTTTAAAATGACAAAAACTCAATCTAGAACTCTCAATTAACTGGAATATTTTTCTTATCTCTTCATGTATTAGGACAAACCATTTAATTTTTCTTTTAGAAAACTAAAATTTATTACTTGATCGATCTGATTCTTAAACTACAGTAGGAACTGAGGGTATAATTTATATCTTATATGCCTATTTTCTTTATTTATGGTCACAGAAAAGGGAACTTGATAAAGAGGAATTTATTTAGGAAACACACATTTCTAAAATATGCACCGAGATCAATGTATGTCTACAGTTTTTATACAATAGTAGCTAGTAGAGGCTGGTCAGAATGATGATTCCAAAAAAAGACAATCATTGCTGGGCATGGGGGCACATGCCTGTAATCTTAGTTACTGGGAAGGCTGAAGCAGGAGGATTGCAAGTTTGAGGACACTCTCAGCAACTCAGTAAAATCCTTAACAACTAAGCAAGACCTTGTCTCAAAATAGAAAACAAAAGAGATGTAGTGCAGTGGTACAGTGCCCCTGCATTCAATCCCTAGTATAAAAACAAAGTCTAAAAAAACCCATATCAGCAATAATATCCTACATTACATAAGAGTACATACATAATAGAAAAATTGTTTCAAGAACTGAGAAAAACAATCCTGGCTACTTTTCAGTGGCCCAGATGAGTTACCTAGAAACAAAAGGCTAAGCAATGCAAAGTAAACTTTGATCCTTTTACTTTCTATCTCTTTTTTGGTTTCATACTTCTCATTCATGAAGTTCTTTGTTCCAATAGGGGCAACTTTCTCTGTGTTCTGTACCTTTACCATCTTCCCTGCTTTCCTCCAAATTTAATTTGAATGTCCCTTTCCTTAGAAAGTGATGATATATATATATATATATATATATATATATATTACCACAGATGAAAATGGGATATATATATATGGGATATATATATATATATCCCATTTTCATCTGTGGTAATTTACTTTATTAGATACGTTCAAAGTCCCAATCTTATCATTGTGCAGGTGAATGGGGAAAGACACTCCTTAAATCAGATTACCTAGATTAATAATTATGTTACAACTAGTGCTAGATGTAATTGGCATACCAAATAAGTAAACAAGAGGAATCCAGAACGAATACTATGTTTTGATGTATTATCCATGGGAAGATTCTCAAGGAGGGAGCTAAAAACCAATAGAACACAATGTCAAAAGAAAGTTGGAAAGTTATCCGGCTCAAAATGAGTGGAGGCTGCTGAAGGACTAGCAGGCCTTTTAGTTTGTTCATTTCAGAGAAGCCAGATATAAAAATCCTATAGACTAAGGATGCAATTTCTATAATCATATTCCTCTTAAACTCAACTATTTATTCTAAACAATTTCTTGAATTAATACAGTGAATAAATTATCAGAGAAACTCCATCATTTATAAGTTATATAAACTTTCGCAGTTCATTTTTGAGCTTCAATTTTCTCACTAGAACAGGCTAATCATCTTATAATGGAGGGATCATTTAATGGCAGTGTGATAAAAATGAAAAGCAGGTGTAATAAAACTTAAAAGTGCTATAATCAATCCTAAGTAAATATAGTCTTGTGTATCCCCTATAAGGACTCATTGAAATAGTGTTTATTGTAGTTTTGGAATATATCAAAACACATCCCCAATACTCCCGTTCAAAACTCTTGGGGCTAGATTGTTTCAGAATTCAAAGTTCCTCAGTCTGAGAAAAGCTACATAGTACACAAACTTCATACTCAGTTAATACCTACCAATGGAGTATGAGGCAGAAGCCCACTGATATTACTACCTTGAAATAGAATGTACAAATATTTACTGCAAAAGAGATAAAGACTATATCTCATATAAATTCAGGATCAGATTCTGCCAGAACTAATGTTATAAAATAGTGGACTAATAGCTTTGGGGCTTTGAAGGGGTCATGTCAAGGGTGTCTTGTTTTTTAAGATGAGGTCTTACTATGTTTCCCAGGCAGGCCTTGAACTACTAGGCTCAAGTGATACTCCTGCTTCAACCCTCCAAGTAGCTGAGACTACAGGTATGCACCACCACACTCATCAGAAAAGTGACTTGGTCTTCAGTGGTAATTTTTACCTCAAGGGCCAATTTTAGACTCTAAAGCATGCAGAAAATATAATCTCATTATACAGTCTCAATGTTACTTCTCACTACTACTCCTCCTCCTCACAGCACAATGAATTTACCCTAAGATATGACAAAAGTTATGTAATGTTAATCTTATTTAAAATAATTTATGATTATATAGTAAATAAAAATGGAAATAACTTACTAATAACTGAACATGTCATAAATTTATCTTGAGCCTTTTCTTCAAATTTTTCTTTAGCTTTTTTGGACCACTGCGTCATCTTTTTACATGGCTCAATACGTGCCAGTTTACATTTAATTGCCTGTGCCAAACAAAATTCAGCCATTAAGAAAATAAACTTAATTTCTGGTTATTTTATAATTAAAATAAAGTTTTATTTATATGTAGAAAACTAATGTTTATGTAGCTCAGTGCAGTTGATGAAAGTATGTTTGAGGCCCTGGGTTTGATACCAACACTGCAAAAAACAAAAAACAAAACAAAAAACCCCAAAAAACAAAACCTCCCAAAACAAAAAACAATCTTTGTGTCTGAATTTTATAAATAATAAAATAAAGGTATCTATAAAAGTACTTTTTAAAAAATATTTATTTTTTAGTTGTAGTTGGACACAATACCTTTATCTTATTTATTTATATATGGTGCTGAGGATCAAACCCATGGTCTCGCATGTGCTAGGTGAGTGCTCTACCGCAATCCTAGCCCTCTATAAAGTACTTCATAAATTGAAATAATTGGAATAAACTGAGTATTTGGACATTAGTTATCCATGTACTTGAATAATAAGCATCTATTTAAAAAGTTAAATAGTCATGATATATTTTGTAAGTGAGAAAAGCAGGCTTTCTAGACTGTTTATAGTCTAATTCTATAATTCTTAAAACAACAAAAGATGATGGGCAGTGGTAGAGAACTTGCGTAGCACATGTGAGGCACTGGGTTCAATCCTCAGCACCACATAAAAATAAAGGTATTTTTTCTGTCTACAACTGAAAAAAAATAAAGATGCATCTTACTAGTACATATACCAAAAATGTTGAACAATATTTTTTAGTGATTAACTTCTTTTGCTTACCTGTATTTTCAAGTTTCTTTTTCTATAATATTGCCCATTATTCAAAATGAAAAATATAGCTTACTAACAATTTAATTAACATAGAAGAATATAAATTTAGAAATAATTCAGCTGGGTTTGGTGGTGCACGCCTGTAATCCCAGCAGCTAGGGAGGCTGAGGCAGGAGGAACATGAGTTCAAAGCCAGCCTCAGTGAAAGCGTGGGGCTAAGCAACTCAGTGAGACCATGTCTCTAAATAAAATACAAAAAATAGGGCTGGGGATGTGGCTCAGTGTTCAATCCCTGGTACCAAAACAAACAAATAAATAATCCTTCTTATCCTTTTCCAGTCATCAGTTACTACAATCAGTTACTGTAGCAATACTTATTTATAGTTCTTATATCAGAAACCATTTATAGACAAAATAGTTATTACCAGAGCATTTCTGTTAAAAATGACTTAAAAAATACTTTCATATTTGTGTTAACATTCCAACTCTAGAGTTCATAACAAGTAGATTACCTTCTCTGGGTGATTCAGAAACTCATCTTTTATTTTACGCATTTCCTTAAGTGTTATTTTTGCAGTATTACCAAAGTCCACATATTTAACTTCAACTTCCCGACGGCCAGGCAATCCTTTAAAAGTTATGAAATCAGAAATTGCAAACTCACAGACTTCTATGTCAATCTAAGTCACTAAGCTTTAAAGAAATTTTTGGAAGGTTCAAACAGAAGTTTAAATAAAGCCCTATTGCACACTGACCTTTGTGAAATCATTCAAAATATATGGTTGACTTTAGTCTTTCTCAGCACATTATGTAGAGTGGTATTAAACTTTTTGTTATCATTTTCAAAATTAAGGACAAATACAAGTATATGTCATTTCAATATGGAAACTAGTCCAGCATTCTCTGCTCCAAACAAGTGGAAGCAGGTGGCATAGTATTGGTACTCAAAATAACACTTCACACAACTTAGAACCTATGGTTGTGGATATCTGTGATAACTGAGAAAGCACAGGCTATTAAAAGTATAAGGCCAATGAAATGTGGAGGAATTTCTCCCTGTTTCCATTGCAATCTTCAGGCTAGAAGAATATGCTCAGCTGTACCAAAGCCAACCTTTCCTCAATGGAGATGTGATTTTAAACAAGCAGATGAATATGGAATAGAATTTAAAGAAACTTATTTTTTTTTCTTACCCAAATTATCAGTCACATATGAGAACAGATCAAATAGACAATGGAAGGTCTCAAATTTACATTTTTATTCTTTCTGAGGAAACTATAGAAGGTGGCTTCATCAAAATAAAAGAATAAACTGAAGAGGTAAACATGGGATTCAGAAAACAAGGAACAATGAAGTGTATTGTGTATTGCTAAGTGAAAAAAATTTTCCAGAATAGCAAATGTATAGTAAGCACTCCATTTGAAGGAAACAGTATGCTTCCATGGTTCAAAAAAAAAAAATCCAACTAAGACTATCTGAAAAGTCTAATCATGTGATAAATTGTTTTGAAGTATTAGAAAAATGTGGCCACAAATTAGGACAATAACACAAGTGAAAAATTAACACAACTATTAACTCAAAATAGTGTTAAAGTATACTTTATGGTTCAGCAGTGAACATATTTACACAATATGGATTTAACTAATAATTGTGGTACAAGTATAGGGAAAGGGAAAGAAGGAACAAAAGGGCTATGAAGAGATTTGAAACTTTTATCTCACAGAGTAACAAGTAAATAGATAATATCTAAACCTGAAGTATCAACTGAATATTACATATTATCAGAATAAACAGTACAGGTACATACCAAAAGAATACCTGAAAATATGAAAAGTAATTGCAACAGAGGAGATGGAGATGACTAAATCTTTTAGTATTGTTTAGTTTTTAAATGAGGCTAATTTAGAAAACAAAACAGACCAACAAAAAACTACCAAGTATGATCTTCATGATGGAGTTCTATAGGGCTACTGAAGATACAGGAAGATAGGCCAACTGAGTCACACATGTGTTTCCTTTACACACTCAAAGTCACCTTGGAAACTGTACCAAATGTTACTACTCAAATAATTCAGAAGCCTTATTGTTCATCAAATGCATGTTTTAAAGCCAATAATTCTAATCTGAAAAGTAGTTTCAAAGTCCTTAAGTGACATGAAAAATGGCTTTATCTCTTCCATTGACATTTATCAAAAGATGCACTGCTTGTCTGCTGCAGTGGTGCACACTTGCAATCCCAGTACTGGGAGGTTGAAGCAGAAAATCACAAGTTTGAGGCCAGCCTTGGCAACCTAGCAAGCCCATCAGCAACTTAGCAATACTCTGTCTCAAAAAATAAAAATGGACAGGGGATGATGTACTACTATCTTGCTATGTTTGAATGTTTTTGTCCTCTTCAAAATTCATTGAAATTTAATCCCTAATACAACACTTTATTAAGAGATGTGGCCTCTTAGAGGTGACCAAGTTATGAGAGCTCTCCCTACCCATACACAGGATTCAGTGCCCATGTAAAAAGGCTCAACAGAGGAAAGTTTACTCCTTTTGTGCCCTTATGCCATATGAGTACATGGCATTTGTTTTTCTGGATGATGCGGCATTCTGGAAGCAGAAAGACCAGGCCCTTACCAGTGCCCTTAACTTGGACTTCCTAGCTTCCAGAACTGTGAGAATAATTTTCTACTGTTTTAAATAGAACATACCAGCCTGTAGTATTTTGGTAGATCAGCACAAACAGACTAAGATGTTTATGAAAACTATATTTGAAAAAACTTTAGCTAGTTTGACACTCACCCCTAAGGAATTAAAATCAATGACAAATAATTAAGATAGAAAACTTAGGTTGGAAGTTTAAATAGTTTTGAAAAAAGATCTGGAACTTTAATAATGGGAAAAATTTTAAACAGTATAAAACTAAACTTCACTTTGTAAATAAAAAGCTACATGTCTACAAATTAGGAAGCATGTAAAAGGAACAGGACTTAGTCCACTGTCAGTTGCTATGGCAGAATACTTGATGCTGGGTAATTTACAGAGGAAAGTGGTATATTTTGGTTCACAGTTTAGAGACTTGGAAACCTTAGATTCTGGCACCAGCATCTTTTCAGTTTCTGGTAAGGACTTTGTGCTACTTCCTTCAACTGATGGTGGAACGTAGAAAGGCAGGTGGGCGAAGGTGAGAGACAAAACTTGGGGGCAGCCTCACTTCATAACAATCTGCTAAAAATAGTAATCCAGTCCTGACAGCAAGAACTGCTCTATAAGAAAGGCATTTATCTGTTCATGAATGCTCACGCCCATGACCCCATACTTCTCACTAGCCCCACCTCTCAACACTGCTGAATTTTGTTGCAGATGAATGCCTTTCCTGTCAAAGTGAGTTCTTGGATTATTTAATAGATAGAAGAGTAAATGGTCAAATCAAATAATACTATCTCCAAGATTTAATTTGTATCAACTCAAAACAATACTAGTCTTAAAGTGTAACCTTCCTTTGTGGAAACAGTGTATATTTTCCTACCAGTGACTTTAGCTCGGTACCAAACTCCATCTTCAAATTTAGCTACACATGCTTGATCTTGAACTGGACAGACAATTTCCAGATTTTCTCCATCGTCACTTTTGTAGAATTCCTCAATGGTTTTTAAAAGAAATAAAAAATCCAGGTTTTCTATCTAAGAAATAAAAGGATAAAGCACTGTAGTTGGCTAGAAACTTAAAATTTTAAGTATGTTTTAGGTATTGTTTATAAAATTATAAAACATTAAAACTGGCTTTAGTTATAAATCAATTATGTGTTATATAATTTACTTTAGGAACTGTTTTTTGTAGATGCAGTATGAAATTCTCCAAAGTAAACATAACAAAAAATAAAATCACATTCTGCTTGATAACTTAATGTATATTCTAGGTTTTTTGGACACTTACACTCTCTCCAACTTTTGTTTCTACCAAAACTAGACCATACAATGCATACAATTTAGTAACCTACACTTTTCTATCAATTCTGTTTCACTAAGTGTGCCTATTAGTACTTCTAGACCATATTCAGTATTTTGTAACTGATCAAATCAGTATCCAATCTCAAGATTACACATTGCTTTTATTTATCTCTGTAACTCCTTTGTTTTTGTGGTACTGGGGATTGAAACCAGGGCTTCATGCATACCAAATGAGTGCTCTACCAAGGAGCTATATCCCTAGCCCTCCATGACTCTTATAATCTAGCATAGTCAGTCCTCTTTTAAAAAAGACCTCGAGGGCTGGGATTGTGGCTCAGTGGTAGAGCATGCATGATGTACTGGGTTTGATCCTCAGCACCACATAAAACTAAATAAATAAAATAAAGATATTGTGTCCATCTACAACAAAAAAATACTAAAAAAAATATACCTTGAGATATTCAAAGTCAGATGAGGAATAGGTGAGCCATACTGGAAACAATTACATGTGGACAGAAACATTTAAATAGGCCAAAGGTGATAATGGAACAAGTAGGTTTGAAATAATTTGTGTCAGGCCTAAATATGAATGCCAAGGCATAAATTTATGACAAAAGGATTATACATAAAAATCTAGTGGGATTTATTCCTGGAACACAAAGATGACCCAACATATGAAAAGAAATGAAATAAACCACACTGACAGAATGAAGGGAAAAAAGAACAAAATATGACAATCTCAAATACTGCAAAAGAGCATTTAAAAAGCTAAACACTCGGGAAATAAGAGGCAAGGAGTCAAGAACATGGCAGCCGCGGAGAGCGGCTGAAATGCCTGTTCTTCAGGCCAGGCGAGCAGGAGACTGACACTGCTTGCCGAGCCCTGTCCTCCGATGGCTGAACTGCGGCCTCCAGCGCCTCAGTCGCCTGTGCGCCACTGCACCTTCGGGCAGAGCCTGCTCTGGGGTCGTTCTGCATCCCACTGCAAAGGGACCCGTGCTCTGGAGGAGGGGGTCGGAGAGCCGCGGCGGCTGGGGCCGGGCGCCGGGCCGAGGAGCGGCAGAGGCCGCGGCGGTGCCGCTTCGGTCGCAGACGAGCGCGGTGCCTGTGAGCGCGGCCCAGAGGCGGCGGTGACGGCGGCAGGGTTTCACTTCTAGAAATGTGGTCTGGAAACAGAAGCAGCAGTTTGTATAATCCCAAGAACTTGCTTATGCCAGGAAGCAGTAAGGGTAACATGAATATCATTGAGGAGATCCAACATGGCGGCGGGGACGGAGATATCAAGTCTCTGACCTCTTCAGCTGCGCGGGCATAGGGAGCTGTAATTGTTTAAATGCTGTTTGCTCAGGATCACTAGGCAATGCTGAGCTGACATGGATCTGGGGCAAACAGTCTGGGCCCCTCAGAGCACACACACGGAGCCCGGATTGGCTGCATTCAAGCTCTGGTTCGCCTGCTTCTCGTGACTCAGCAATAACGATCCCGCTGAAATAACTGGTCGTCCCTTCTGAACTTAGACGTAAAAGCCAACCGAGCCTTCATAGGCAGTGGCCACAGGTTTGAAACGGGGATTGGGAGAGACAGTCAGGACCCACCCGTTGCATTGGTCACCCGGCAAAGGGAACGAACGGTTACAATTTGCATGGGATACCACCTTGGCAGAGAACTGACGTCACGGGCGGAGGAGAAAACTTCATTGAAATCAGAGCAACAGGTGTGTAATCCCCTAGCCATCTCTCTCCACACAGCGGGGAAACCTTAAGGGCCCCTCCCAGCTCTCCTGTGAGCGCGATAGCCAGAAGGAGGGAATCAAGAGTGGCGCGGGACTCGCGGCGCGGAACGCCCGGCTACCGCTCCCACCAGTGCTGACAACTGAGGTCCCTTGCACCAGCTACAGGGGGTGTGGCTACCGGAGGGCAAGCAAATTCGCTGGGGGTTCTCAGCCCCAAGCTCTACAAACTTAGGGTCTGAGAGAGGCAAACAGGGAGAGTGTTCCCAGGTGTTGCTGAAAATAGGGCTCCCAGGAGCAGCAGACCTGGCAAGTAGCCAGTATTGTGGTGAGCGGGGCCTGGCTTGAGGAAACACAAGAGAAGGCCCTAGACACTCAGGATTGGAGACCCGCCCAGTCTGGGAGGAAGAGCTGCTGCACAGTGATTGGTTCCCACCTATTGAGAGGAGAAGCTAGGTGCAGTGGGCATAGCTCTACCTACTGGAAGAGAAGTTAATCGAACTCTCTGACTGCATTTATTATTATTCTTTTTCTTTTTTTTCTTTTTCTTTCATTTTCATATTTTTGTTGTTGTTCTTTAACTTTTTAAAAATGTTTTTATTTTTTTAAAAATTATTTATTATTATTTTTTTTAAATTTTAATTTTCATCTTTTTTATTATCATTATGATTTTTGTAAAAAAAATTTTTTTCTTTCTTTTTTTTTGTTTCTTTTGTCTTTTCATTTCTTTTCAATTTTCTTATTCCTCCTTCATTGAATTCTACCTGCCTACTCTCATTCTCTTTAGTGACTTCTTCCCTTCCCTTCTAATATCTTTCCTCCCAAGCATCAAATAAATTTATAAGAGTAAACAGTAACTCAGCAGTCAAACAGAACAAGAAGTAACATGAGCAGCATAAAAAGCACAGAAGAAAAGGAGTGAAACAATGCAGGACAGCTTAAATATTCAGGAGGATCTAGAGTCAGCAAAAAATGGTCACATAAAGAACTCAAGGAATACCTTAGACAGATGGAATGGAACCTTAAAGAGGATACGAGACAGCAAATCCAAACAGTGAAAGAACACATTGAAAATGAATTACATAAACAGATAAAAGAAGAAGTTAAGCATCTTTATCAGGAGATAGAGATTATGAAAAAAAA